ACTCCAGGTTCATCTAGTGGTGAGACATATTGCGGGGCACCTCAATATTCTAGCCGACACTCTATCCAGATCCCTTGCTCCAGTAAACACGGAGTGGGAACTACTTCAAGTAGTTTTCAAAGCTGTGACTCTTCATTGGGGGTCACCTCAGATAGATCTGTTTGCGACCAGTCTCAATCACAAACTTCTAACATTTGTGTCTCCGGTTCCAGATCCAAAATCTTTTGCGGTAGACGCAATGAGCCTATCTTGGAAAGGAATGTTCGGGTACGCCTTCCCTCCTTTCAGGTTTCTCTCCCCAGTACTTCAGAAAATAGCAGGGGAAAATTGCAAGATCATAGTTATTGCTCCAGCATGGCCGAAACAGTCTTGGTTTCCAGACCTTCTGCGCCTATCATGTGCTTGTCCTCTAGTTCTACCTCTGAGACCAGACCTTCTGTCTCAAATCAAGGGCAAGGTTCTTTATCAAAATCCAGAAAAACTTCATCTACACGCCTGGCTTCTCTCAGGGTTAGCCTCAGAAAGAGAGGTTTTTCTGAAGGAGCAACCAAGCATCTCACAAAGTCTGTCAGAGACTCCACTAGCATTGTCTATGATGCAAAATGGTCAATCTTCTCAGATTGGTGTAGTGAGCGGGAAATTGATCCTTTCCAAGTCACTGTACAACAATTAGCAGACTTTCTAGTTTTTCTTTTTGAATCCAAAGGATTACAATGGATTATGTCCCTCTACTATTAAGGGATATAGATCAGCTATTTCAAGAACTATTCATATTTCTGGTGGCCCAGATTTTGGAAACAATGAGCATATTTCTCTTTTGGTTCGTAGTTTTAGTCTTGAAAGACCAAGACAAAAAACTTTAGTTCCTAAGTGGGACCTTGGACTAGTTTTATCCTTTTTAAAACTTCCTCCTTTTGAACCAGCAGAAACAATAGATTTAAGGTTTCTTTCCTATAAATGCTGTTTTCTTTTAGCTTTGGCTTCTGGACGGAGAAGGAGTGAAATCCATGCCTTCTCTATTTCTGATGCTTGCCTTCGATTTAACAGGGATAAATCTTCTGTTACTCTTTTAACGGATCCTGCTTTTTTGGCAAAGAATCAGATTCCAGATAAGGGTGCAGAATCAGTCGTGATTCCTGCACTCCCTAGCGATTCTATTTCTGTACTTTTATGTCCAGTAAGAATCCTTTCTATTTATCTGGATAGAACGAGTAGTTTACGTTCTGTTTCTAACTCAAGACTCTTTATTCCTATTAAAAAAGGAATCTCAGATCTTTCTGTTAAAACTATTTCTACTTGGATATGCAAATGCATATCTTTAGCTTATGGTTCTTCTAAGTCAGAACTTTTAAATAGTTTTAATGTTAAAGCTCATGATGTTAGGGGTATCTCTACATCCTGGGCTCTGTTTAACAGTGCATCTTTAGAAGAGGTACTGTCTGCAGGTTTCTGGAGAAATGAGAACTCTTTTATATCTCATTACCTCCAATCTATGGCTACTTTTGCCGAGAGTTTATACTCTCTTGGACCTATAGTTTCAGCACAAAGATTGAACTTTCCTCCTGTTTCTTCTGTTACAGGGGATTCAGCTTTACGTTAGATTCTGTTACTCAGAATTTATGATGGTAACATATTTATAGCTATAAAATATTCAAATTTTAAAGTAAATTTGGATTTTATTAGATAAATACTTACCATCATAAATTATAGGTCCCACCCACCTCCCCTTCATCCCCTTTCCCTACGTTTCTGTCTTGAGGAAATTGAATGGGAGAATATGGGCAAACAGGGGTATATGTCCGGACCAGTGAGAGTACGTTTATTTTTAGTCGGGATTTTCCATCTGACCTATGACGCAATTGGGGTTACACTCAGAATTTATGATGGTAAGTATTTATCTAATAAAATCCAAATTTACTTTAAAATTTGAATATTTTCCTCTGGTCTCTAGATCTCGTCTATTAGTCGGTCCCCCTCTCTGGATTATGAATTTTACTCCCAATTTTCCGACTAATAAGCGAGTAGGAACGGTAGTACTCTAACATTAGTTATGGAGTTTTTTTATGGACCATAACGCTGGACTAAATCATCAGACCGGAAAAAAATTCGAACTTGATCTATAACTTGTCATGATAAAATTATATACCAAATATCAAATCAATATCTTCAAGAACTAAGAAAAAAAGTGTGGAAAACTGAGTTGCCGGACTGACAGATGGACAGATGGACAGAGTGGAAACCTAAAGTCCCCTTCGACTTCATTGGTAGGGGACTAATAAATGTGCAACAAGATGAACATCACAACCATTAAAACTCACATTTCAATTTCAGCTAAGGGCTTTTCCAGAAAAAAATTTGTAAGGGTTCCGCGGAACCCAGTGTCTCGCCTACTTTTGCTGTTAGTCGCAGGCTCAACAAAAATGGGGAAAAAATTATTAAAAAAATTCCTCTAGATACTGTCTTTTGATTGTAAGAAGTTCTGTTCAAGTTTGGTAAAAATCAAAGAAGGCTTATGAGTCTAAAAAATGTTTTAAAAACTTAAACTGCAGACTGTACATAATGTTAACTGGAATAAAACTAAGTCCATTTATAAGTAATATACGGAAAAACAGGAAATAAATTTTTACAAAATTTCCTTCTACATACTAGCTTTTGATCATAAACAAGATTCTGTCCAAGTTTGGTACAAATCCAGGATAGTTTAAGAAAGTTATTAAAATTTTGAAAGCTTTAACCACAGAGTGAATGTAATGTTAACTGGCAGAAAAACTAAGTCCATTTATAAGTAAAATACGGATAAACAGGATTTTTTTTTTAACAAAATTTACTTTTGAATACTATCTTATGATCACAAACAAGCTTCTGTCCAAGTGTGGTACAAATCCAGGATAGTTTAAGAAAGTTATTAAAATTTGAAAAACTTTAACCACAGAGTGAATGTTATGTTACTTTAACTGGCAGAAAAACTAAGTCCATATATGAGTAAAATACGGATAAACAGGATTTTTTTTTACAAAATTTTCTTCTGGATACTATGTTATGATTATAAACAAGCTTCTGTCCAAGTTTGGTACAAATCTAGGATAGTTTAAGAAAGTTATTAAAATTTGAAAAACTTTAACCACAGAGTGAATGTAATGTTAACTGGCAGAAAAACTAAGTCCATTTATGAGTAAAATACTGATAAACAGGATTTTTTTTTTTACAAAATTTACTTCTGGATACTATCTTACGATCATAAACAAGCTTCTGTCCAAGTTTGGTTGGAATGCAGGATAGTTTAAGAAAGTTATTAAAATTTAAAAAACTTTAACCACAGAGTGAATATTTGTGGACGCCGCCGACGCTGACGGAATGTAAGATCGCTATGTCTCGCTTTTGCGACAAAAGTCGCAGGTTTGACAAAAATATATTAGGGAGGGGTTGGGGGTTGGATGGCACTTGAATTATTTTTGTATGGGAGGGGGCAGGTCACGAAGTTCAAATTGTGTGTTTAAGTATGCAAAGTAAAATGCAATTTTATGGGTGATGGCCATACAAAACTAGAGGCTCTAAAGAGCCTGTGTTGCTTATGTTGGTCTATGTGCATATTCAACAAAGGACTCTCTCCAACATTGAAGACGAGAATAGAATTCATGACAAAAATCTCTGTTTTGTTGATCTTGTATTTCTGATCATTTAATCTGTTTAGTTTCTCTCTATCATCTTTAGGTTTTGCTCAAAACACAAAAGAGGGTAAAAAAAATCCCCATTTAAGGGCAATCACTCTTAAAAAAGTGACAGTCTACTAACTATATCGACAAAGTTTGACTTATTTGTAGATCTTGCCTTGCTGATCAGTTTTGTGATTTAAAGTGTCTATTTATCTACTAGTATTATAATTTTATCATATAAGGCAAAATGCAAAAAAAATTGGTAAAAATCGTCATTAAAGGGCAATAACTCCTATAAGGAGATGTTGGATGATTTCCTCATTTTGTCTTAATTGTAGATCATGTCTTGCTGATCATTTTTGCTTATTTAAGTTTCTATCTATCTATTATAATTTTAAGCTACAAGGCAAAAACGCAAAAAATTAGTAAAAATGGTCATCAAAGGGCAATAACTATAATAAGGAGTTGACTGACGATTTCGACCAAGCACACTTATTTGTAGAACTTGTCTTGATGATCATTTTTGCATTTTAAAGTTCTCTTTATCTATAATGATTTTCAAGATAATAGGCAAAAATTAAAAAAAATGATAAAATTTTTCATTTAAGGACAATAACTCATATAAGAAGTTGTCTGACAGTATTGACAGTTATGGACAATTGGTAGAGCTCATCATTCTGGACATTTTTGCCCTGTCAGATTTTCTCTCTTTATTACGGTTTTTAAAATAATAGAAAAAATTTGCATTTTATCCCTATGTTCTATTTGTAGCCATGTCTGCCATCTTGGTTGGCAGGCAGGGTCATCGGACACACTTTTTAAACTAGATACCCCAATAATGATTGTGGCCAAGTTTGGTTAAATCTGGCCCAGTTGTTTCAGAGGAGAAGATTTTTGTAAAAGTTAACGGAAGGCGTGCTAAGTGATGAGAAAAGCTCACTAGAACCTGTGGGCCAGGTGAGCTAAAATGTGCTTTTTTTATGGAACAGGCCAAAAAAATTCATGAATAAAATAATGAATTTATTGGATCAAAGGACATTTTACTATGCATTTAAGACAGCTTCAAATAAGAATATGTATGTGTCCATAGGACAACTTGCCCCATTCTCACTATCGAATTACTAAGCCTTTAATATGAAGGACCCAGGTCTTCATATTTGATACTGCTAAGTCAAACTAGTTATACACGAAGATGACCTGAATATTTGCAATAAGCCTGTTTGAATAGCATCTAAGCTATCTTTAACATTTACGGCTTGTGCCATACTCTAAATACAAGCTTTCGAACTTGCTATTTCTAAGCCTAATTATTCATGCATGAAATGAACCTTAATGATCTATACATACTGCAGATTCAGCCTCTTCTTTTTGTTGGGCATAAGTCTCCGCATGGTCTTTCTTCCTCTTCTCCAATTCTCTAAAATGTATGATACTCATTTTATAAGAAAGAATAAATTGTTTTTAAAAAAGCATGTTAAAAGACACAATTTTAATTTCAGAACTATTTCTTTGTTGTTTTATTTCTATTTGCCATCAGCTTTTACACTACAAATATTTGTCATGGTGAATTACACAGGTAAACAGTGAATTGATGTTTACCTCCTTACACAGGCTTTAAATAGTTTCAATTCATTAATTCAATGTTTACATAATTTACTAGTATAGATCACCAATGCATCAACTCAAAAGCTAACAAGAGTGCACACGCTGAAATGTCTCGCCTTCTTTACTAACCATTGATATTATGTTGATAGTCCAAAATATAAAGCTTTACTACAACTATCAACCTTACAATTATTCAATACACTAAATGTAGTTGACCTGTTGCTTATAATTTCTAAGAAACAGACTTAACCAAGAAAACTAAACATTTACCAATGAACCATGAAAATGAGGTCAAGGTCAGATGAACTTTACACCTTACAATCAACCTATGCATTAAATATAGTTGACCTATTGCTTATGGTATCTAAGAAACAAACTTAACCGTGAAAACTTAACATTGACCAATGAACCAACATATGAGGTCAAGGTCAGATGATACCTCCCAGACAGACATATACAGCTTACAATCCTTCTATACAAAAAATATAGTTGACCTATTGCTTATAGTTTAAGAAAAACAGACCAAAACACAAAAACTCAACACTGAGCAATGAACCGTGAAAATGAGGTCAAGGTCAAATAAAGCCTGCAAGACTGACATGTGCATCATAAAATATTTTCATACACCAAATATAGTTGACCTACCGGTATTGCATATAGTATTAGAAAATATCATATAAAGTTATAAAGGGACATAACTGAAGAATGGTAAAAGTGTTGCTACCCAAAATTATTATTGATCTGAGTTTTGTAGTAATAAGTAATGTGTATAAGTTTCATAACATTTGGTTGAGGCAAACTTAAGTTTGAGAACGGAAACAAAAATTTCAGCAATTTTTCCTTTTGTAAAGGAGCATAACTCTAGAACAGTTAAAGTGACACCACCAAAAATCAAACTTGATCTGTATTTTGTGGTAATAAGCATTGTGTAAAAGTTTCATAACATTTGGTAAAGGCAAACTAAAGTTAGAGAACGGAAACGAAAAATTCAGCAATTTTTCCATTTGTAAAGGGGCATAACTCTAGAACCGTTAAAATGACACCACCAAAATTCAAACTTGATCTGTATTTTGTGGTAATCAGCATTGTCACAATTTGTGTATAAGTTTCATAACATTTGGTTGAGGCAAACTAAAGTTAGAGAACGGAAATGAGATCAGCAATTATTCCATGCGTGAATGGGGCATAACTCTACAACAGTTTAAGTGACACCACCAAAATTCAAACTTGATCTGTGTTTTGTGGTAATAACCATTGTGTATAAGTTTCATAACATTTGGTTGAGGCAAACTAAAGTTAGAGAATGGAAACTAACTTTGGGACGTATGGACGGACTGACGTACGGACGGACGGACTGATGTACGGACGGACAAGGGTAAAACTTAATGCCCCCTCCACTATGACGGGGGCATAAAAAAGACCAAAACTCAAAAACTTAACTTTGACCACTGAACCATGAAAATGAGGTCAAGGTCAGATGACACCAGCCAGTTGGACATGTACACTTTACAATCATTTCATACACCAAATATAGTAGACCTATTGCGTACAGTATAAGAAAAACAGACCAAAACACAAAAACTTAACTATAACCACTGAGCCATGAAGATGAGGTCAAGGTCAAATGACACCTGCCAGTTGGAAATGTTCACCTTACAATCCTTCCATATACCAAATATACTAGACCTATTGCTTATAGTATCTGCGATATGGACTTGACCATGAAAACTTAACCTTGTTCACTGATCCATGAAATGAGGTCGAGGTCAAGTGAAAACTGTCTGACGGGCATGAGGACCTTGCAAGGTACGCACACACCAAATATAGTTATCCTATTACTCATAATAAGAGAGAAATTAACATTACAAAAAATCTTAACTTTTTTTTCAAGTAGTCACTGAACCATGAAAATGAGGTCAGGGACAATGGACATGTGACAGACGGAAACTTCGTAACATAAGACATCTATATGCAAATTATGAAGCATCCAGGTCTTCCACCTTCTAAAATATAAAGTTTTTTATATGTTAGTTAACGCAGCCGCAGCCGGATCACTATCACTAATGTCTAGTTTGCTGCGACAGAAGTCGCAGGCTCGACAATAAATTATGCTCTATTATATCACATAAACACAAAAAAATTTGTGGTCATCAGCACAATGTATATTAGAGATTCTTTATTTCTATTTAGTTAGAGAAATTTTTTACCAGTCAAATTCTGTTAAATGCATTGAAGCTTTTGGTTTGTCTGAATGTTAATTCAACTGTTCATGTTGAACTCTGATTTATTGCTGTGAATGCTTGTGCATTCTCCCTATCGTTTAATTTTGCATTGTTTTTATTTTCCTTGCTTGTGTTTCTTTTATATAAATTTTTATGATTTCAGATATTTCTTCCTTCGCTGCTGATTTCATTTACAATTGCTACCTGTTATTTAAATTGGAAAAATGTTTTATTGCATATAAATTATATATAATATATCCTGTTACAGTGTTCCAGCTTGAATCTCAGGGCAGAAGGGTGCTAGTTGTCTGAAAGGGCACTTTAGTGTTATAACCCAGATTTTAAGGGCAATGTTGGACAGTGTATAAATTACCTTGAATATTGCTAGGCTCAGCTGGAGAACATTAGTTGTATTTAAACCATATTCAGAAATTAATGTGTTCTTGATGTTGGTTCCAATAAGATTTTTTTTATTAAATTATCATACCATGAAAGATGGAGTTATACATGCAAAATTGAATGTTTAATGTAATTAAATTATCTACATTTAAATTACTTGTTCAAACATACAGTATATATGTTATTGGGAGTTATTTATTATTTGAATTGTTACATAAAATTTTTTTTAAGTGCACACCAAAGTGCTCCTCAGTAAGGAGTTTTATAGATATAACAGGTGAGACAGGAGATGATCATATTATATTGATGCAATAATATATTGCAGAGGTATAAACAGTTACTTCTCCATCATTGTTAAAAATAAATTTGTTGAGTGCTCCTATGTCAGGAGGATTATAAAATACAAGAAGTAAAACAGGAAGTGAATCTTGTTATGTTCAAAGTACAAATTTCTTTGATTCTTCTTTTAATTTCATACTCATGGTTATGAAACAAAACATTTTTTACCAATTAAGTCAAAACTATGTATGCCTTTAAAATTGTTTAAGATTTTATTTTTTATGTTATGCCTACTGAAATAATTTTTTTTATGGTGTACATGCTGTACATAAACATTACAAATGGATAACATGTGGACATTTCATTCTGTATTAAATATCTAGTATTTGTTCAATTATCTTAAATCCACTAATTAGCAGTAAACAATCATTAACAAAGGTGATAAAACTGCCAAAGCATTAGGTATTTAACTTAATCCCATTGTCAGTTAATTAGTGTTACACAATCAGGTAACAATTTTACCAGAAATGCCGGTAGGCATCAAATTTGGGAATTTTATTTTTTTGAAAAGGCAGAGGGGGGCATTCTTTTACTTTGGAGGGCCGAAGGGCGGGGATAAGGGCACCAAGAGCGGCCCGCCCTTCTATTTAGGGCAGGCGGGAACACTGTGTTAAATAAAAAAACAGGGATAAATAAACAACAGGTAACCAGACTACCTACTGGTTCTTTTTCTCCTCTTAGTAAAGTACTTATAACAAGATAACCTACTTTTTCATCAGTTGTACAAATATGTGATCACATTTTTACCTACAAAACATATTACTACTGCTTTCCAAACTTCTTGACAGGTAACCAGTTTACTTACTCTTCTTCCTGCTCTTTGAGGTAGGGTGTCACAACAAGTTTACGTACAGCAAAATATACAACCACAGGGAAAAATGTTCCATAGAATACAACATTGGGCATTATGTGTTCTGACAATTTCACCGGAAAAACAAAAGTCTGTTGTCCTCTTACTAGTCTGTAACAAAAGAAGTCTTTATTTTAAATAACTCATACAACAAAAAATATTTTTATTCAGCGAGACAAAAATCAACATACAGAAATATCTCAACTGTTATAGTAATGACCGGACTATATACTGTAAATTCAGATATTATAACTGCATTTATTATAGTTAGTTTTGAAGAACGGACAAAAATGCAAGATTATTTATTGAGATCTTAGGAAAATCTGTGTACAGATAAATGTATCAGATATCAGAATGTGAGTTCTTATTATTGCAATACCAGCCTGGTCGCATTATTTGCATTAATAAAAACCTCCCAATAATTTCTGAATTTACAGTAATCATAATGTTCAATAGTTGTCGTTTGTTGATGTGGTTCATAAGTGTTTCTCGTTTCTCGTTTTTTATACAGATTAGACCTTTGGTTTTCCCGTTTGAATGGTTTTAGGTGTAATACCACCAAATCATAGTACGTCACATCCGGTTGCATACGAAAATAGGTCGAAAAAAAATATTCCCTTGAATTTGACAGTTGTAGGTAATTGATCCTACATTTCATTGCAGTAAAACATTTCTGAGTCACAAACATATATCTTGGGTATTTCAAAGCACCATTATTTCTTTATTTGGGGTTTCAATAGAATATTTTGGAAACTTGAGGTTACATGGTTACTAAAGCTTGTACACAGGTTAAAAAAGGGGGAAAATTTGATTGGTTAACTTCCAGTGATGGTTATTTTCTTATATGCAATGAAATGTTATGTGAAATTTTTTCTATAGTACTGGACAGGATAAAACTTTACTCATGCCAAGTATTTCTTTATTTGAAACAAAGATAAATTCTGCACAATTTTTTGAAAAGTGCAAATTTAACAAAGACTAATAGGGGAAAATCAATGGTGGTATTACACCTAATATGGGAAGCTGTACATGCACCTTTGACCTTGTGAGTACTCTCATGTGTTAAAATTTCTTGCTATTTAAGTGAAATATTACAAATAATGAAATATTCTGAGTGGATTGAGTCTCCAAAATACATTTTATGAGAAAATTTCCTTGAAATAGGACTTTACCATGAATATTAGTTGACAGAACAAGCCATACTTAGAGTCTTGGGGAGCTTTTTCTCCTTATTTCTTATATTCTGCTATACTAGAAAATTTTTCCTAAGAAATACTTTAATAAATATATAGTTTTAAGTAAATGAAATTATTTTTAAAGAAGTAACAACAAATTATTCACCAAAAGAGAAGTTTTTTATGTCCCTCTCTGGAACGCGGCGTAAATTTAAGTTTTACGCAAGGACTTATTGAAACCTCCTTGGAGACAGTAAACTTTTATACGGATAGTTCAAGCAGCTTGAATACTTCAATTAATCATTTATAATAACATTCCTATCATAAATGAGTGAAAGTTACCCCAAAATTTTTATTTATTGGCTTAAAAAGTAGAAATTTTGAGGAAATGAGAGGTATAAATGGACCAAAAGAGACTTTATAAGGAAGAATAAGAGGTCCATTAGTAGTATTTATCATCCTAAAGTCATCTTTTGTATCATATTCAACTGTTTGTAGGCAGATGAGATAAATATTTGATCATTTATTGGTCCACACTATATTCTATCATGATGCGGCTTGGTTTGAATTTTTCGAAGAAATTTTGCTCGAATCGCTGTAGATGTCGTCTTACATTATACTAGATTTTTCTCAAACTATTGAACTGATTATGACAAAACTTGACAGGAATGCTTGAAATAACCAGTATTACAAAGGAAAAAAGTCACATACAGTTTATTCAACAAAAAAGTCTTCTTTAGGTGTAATACCACCAAATCATAGTACGTCACATCCGGTTGCATACGAAAATAGGTCGAAAAAAAATATTCCCTTGAATTTGACAGTTGTAGGTAATTGATCCTACATTTCATTGCAGTAAAACATTTCTGAGTCACAAACATATATCTTGGGTATTTCAAAGCACCATTATTTCTTTATTTGGGGTTTCAATAGAATATTTTGGAAACTTGAGGTTACATGGTTACTAAAGCTTGTACACAGGTTAAAAAAGGGGGAAAATTTGATTGGTTAACTTCCAGTGATGGTTATTTTCTTATATGCAATGAAATGTTATGTGAAATTTTTTCTATAGTACTGGACAGGATAAAACTTTACTCATGCCAAGTATTTCTTTATTTGAAACAAAGATAAATTCTGCACAATTTTTTGAAAAGTGCAAATTTAACAAAGACTAATAGGGGAAAATCAATGGTGGTATTACACCTTTACACTAGTCATTTTTGGGCCCTTTATAGCTTGCTGTTCGGTGATAGCCAAGGCTCCGTGTTGAAGACCGTACTTTGACCTATAATGGTTTACTTTTATAAATTTCGACTTGGATGGAGAGTTGTCTCATTGGCACTCATACCACATCTTCTTATATTTAATTAATGCATGACTTTTTTGGGACTTTTTTTGGACCTGAGGCGATCTAAAGCTTGACAAATTGAGTTGAGTATATATTGTTGATGATTGTTGAAGACTGTATACTGACTTCTATATGTAGTTTTTGTTATTTGTGTCATTGGGTTTTAAATTCATTAATGTCAAATATTGTTTACCCAACATCTCCTTTTATTCATAAATATCAGATTTTATCATCATATAACAACCATAATATCAGATGTAAACAATAATTTGAAAACTCAACTTTAATTCAAAACTGGAGTTGTTCAAAAAAGACACATCCTTGTCTTTTGGTTTCTGATGGTTAGTTGTCTCATTGGCAATCATATCATAACTCCTTATTGTCATTTCTGAATCTAAATGTTACTCAACTAATCCAGATCAAAACGATAATAAAGCAAGAGTATTGAGAGTTTAAATAAGTAGTTTCAGCTGAAACATATCAATGGTCCTGTTCAAAGCTGTGAACCTCATTAAAAGTTGTATTAAAATAATATTAAAAAAATCCCCAAAAATTTCCCTTTTAATAATTGAACAATATAGTTGATGACAGATATCTTGGATTAAAAGCTCGACATATGGTACAGCTATTGCAAAATGATGTTGACATCTAGTTGTCTTTGCTGTTTTACGATATAGACCAATCTAGGGTTGTTTTTTTATGACTGAGTTACACTGATTGATCAGAGGTCAATCGGCAAACATGACGTCATTGAACAATCAGTTCTTACTGTGGTATAATACATGTAACATAAGCATTGTGACAAAGGAAATGTACGGGAAAGTGCATGAATTTGAAAGTTGTCTATTGGGTTTCTTTCTCATCAACATGTATCCTACACATCCTTTCACAGTCATTACTGTTTTTTTAAGTTTTTTATTCTGTCTGTGCATTTTGGTGACATTATACGAATGGAATATTTAAATAAATGATATTCTTTGTCTACAACGACTCGTATTGACTGGTAGCCATCAGTTGTACTGAGCAGGGTTTTTTTATGTACTTTTTTCCATTTATAACATATAGTGTAGATAGGCAAGGGTAAAGCTTGGGATAATGGAAAAGTAGTTAACTGACTAGACTTAAGACAATGTTTTCTTATTGTTTGAATGTGTTGGTTGTGGATTCACTTCACTATGTTTTTCAAATATTTTCTATTCATGTTTTTCTGAAAAAGTGTATATTTTCACTAATCTTATACTTATTAGTCAAATATGTGTACCTACTTTGATATAATTACCAAAAATAAACCATTTACCTAATAACATGTATTTAGTTCATTTGAACATCTTTTGATCATTTTAGCATTTAACAAAGTGTTAAAAATATACCTGATTTGTACATACATGTATACCCCAAAAGGAATCCTTATCATTTTCGCACCTATCCAGCTGATGAAACATACCTGATTTGTACATATACCCCAAAAGGAATTCCTATCATCATTTTAGCACCAATCCAGCTGAACTGTGAGATTTTTTTCTGAATACCATATTCAATATAACTTTCTATTGTACCAAGCCTGAAACATTAAAATATTTAATAAACATTTATACTGATCAATATTGTAATTCATTCTGTTTCTCAAACAAATATTTAAATCTTTTCATTAAATGGTAAACATTAATTATAGGTAGCATTTCTCGATATATAAATTGTCTTTTAAGTGGTTGATTCTTTTTCTTTGATACTGAAATAACTATGAACAAGTCACCTGCTGAAATATTTTATAATACATGTGTTTTTTTAAGATGAATGAACTCTGGAACTGAGATCAAGGCTAAATGACATTTGTCAGACACACATTTATTCTTTATGAAACTGCATACCAAATATATTTAACAAAAAACTTGAACATAGACATTGGAGTTTATTCAAATAAATCCCTCAATTGTAACTTGAAGTCAATCCCTTACTGTACAAGATAGAGAGGAGGGAGATGGGAGTGTCATCCCGAATTCCTGGATAAATAAACGCTGAATCATAAATTCTTGAAAAAATTAAGCTTTCTTTCCCAGATACCGAAAAATAAATCATTAATTCCCCAAGTCCTGATGAGTGTAAATCCCAGATTCCCGCACAAATAAAGACCTAATCCCAACGTCCTGAAAAAGATATTTTTCCCCTCAAGATAAACATGTCAACCCTTAACCATAATGAATTAGAACATCATCATGACACTACCTTAACTGTCATAGCCCAGTCTGCCACTTCACTATCAAACAGATGGCAATTACAAAAGAAAAAGATGCCTTCTTGCAGCCATACTTACTTCCCTGCTACACGAACCTCAGCATCATGCGATTTAAATTTTCTAGATAAAGCAGCCTGAATGAAATTTGCTGGTATCCCCATCTGTAACCCTAACTGTAAAATAAATTACAAATAGATGGAGATGAGCATTGGAGTCAATAATATGTAAATGTATATTCTTGTTTGTTTGCCCTGACACTTATCTGTGTCACTATTGTAGAAACCAGATGTAAAATTCTCAACTGATATCTATGTTTTAGAACTGGCCTGGAGATTTATTAACTAGAGGCTCTAAAGAGCCTGTGTCGCTCACCTTGGTCTATGTGCATATTAAACAAAGGACACAGATGGATTCATGACAAAATTGTGTTTTGGTGATGGTGATGTGTTTGTAGATCTTACTTTACTGAACATTCTTGCTCCTTACTATTATCTCTATCTATAATGAACTTGGCCCAGTAGTTACAGCGGAAAATTTATGAAAATTGTAAAAAATTGACTATAAAGGGCAATAACTCTTTAAGGGGTCAATTGACAATTTTGGTCATGTTGATTTATTTGTAGATCTTACTTTGCTGTACATTATTGCTGTTTACAGTTTATCTCTATCTATAATAATATTCAAGATAATAACCAAAAGCTGCAAAAGTTTCTTAAAATTACCAATTCAAGGGCAGCAACCCAACAACGTGTTGCCTGATTGGTCTGAAAATTTCAGGGCTGATAGATCTTGACCTAATGAACAATTTTATCCTCCTCAGATTTGCTCTCAATGCTTTGGTTTCAGAGATATTAGCCAAAAACTGCTTTTTACCCTATGTACTATTTTTTAGCCATAGGCCATCTTGGTTTGTGGGCGGGGTCATCGGACACATTTTTTAAAATAGATACCCTAATGATGATTGGGCCAGGTGAGCTAAAAATACAGTGAGGATTTTCCACTCTACACTACACTTTAAATCTTCCTGTAAAAAGCCTAGAGGCAGTTATAAAAGATGGGATGCACAGCTTTACTACCATGGATGTATTTATATCAATTTTCATGGATTGAGGGAAAAACATATATTTCTTGATTACTTGATTCCCTGGTATTTTTATTTTGATAAACACAACTTTTTTTAAATATACACCTACAAAAGTAGTGCCCAAAAACTAGTTATGAATCCTCTCTCAACAATTGATATAGTTAAGATGAATTCTGTTCAGTGGTTGGATGTTAGAATGATAAAAGCAGATATCACTGTGAACTTTCACTAAATCTCCTGTAGTTTTTACTTACAACGTTAACATAGCATTGTTTGACTGATAATACATCACCATATATATCTCAGTGAATTTTAACTATAGATTAAATGTAGAACATGAGATAAACAATTAAAATAACACATGGAATATACCTGTAATGATAATTTAGCTGTGTAAGGTTGATGTTCAAATATAAGCAGAGTTTTCACTGAGGAGGACGACATACTGGCATTAAAAAGCATTTTTCCTTGTAAATTTTTGTCCAGTTGCCATGCTATCACTGAAAAATAAATAAAATGTAGTCAAGACTCAAAAGTTAAATACATAAGGTACTTTTTTGGTCAGGTTGTTGTCTCTTTGACACATTCCCCGTTTCCATTCTCTATTGTATTATAATACAATAAAATGCTCCGCAGGGCGCAGCTTGATACGACCGCAGAGGTCGAACCCTGAACAGTTGGGGGAAGTATGGACACAACATTCAAGCTTGATACAGCTTTGGATTTGGATTGTGATTAAATATTTGACACAGCATAGGTTTCTAACACAGATTGAATGTGGTCTAAGAACTTAAAAATTTTAAATTGGACATTCACCTATTATGGTCCAATATCCAAAATCTAAATACATGGTTAGATTCAGCATATCAAAGAACCCCAAGAATTCATTTTTTGATGAAATCAAACAAAGTTTAATTTTAGACCCTTTTGACCTCAATGTGGACAAAGTTGATAACGGGGCCCAAAAATCAAAAATCTAAATACATGGTTAGATTCAGCATATCAAAGAACCCCATATATTCAATTTTTGTTGAAATCAAACAAAGTTTAATTTTGGACCCCGATTTGGACCAACTTGAAAACTGGGCCCATAATCAAAAATCTAAATACATGTTTAGATTCAGCATATCAAAGAACCCTAAGAATTCAATTTTTGTTAAAATCAAACTAAGTTTAATTTTGGACCCTTTGGACCTTAATGTAGACCAATTTGAAAATGGAACCAAAAATTAAGAATCTAAATACACGGTTAGATTCGGCATATCAAAGAACCCCAATAATTCAATTTTTGATGAAATCAAACAAAGTTTAATTTTGGACCCTTTGGACCTCAATGTGGACCAATTTAAAAACGGGGCCCAAAATCCAAAAACTAAATACACGGTTAGATTCAGCATATTAAAGAACCCCATGAAATCAAGAATAAAACCCCATTGAAATTGGTCAAGAAATAAGCAATTTATAGGAAGTATCTTCTTTTGCACAATCCTGTGCTATTAAATATTTCTTGCTATTGCGCAATACTGTACAATTGACAATTTCTTGCTATTGCGCAATATTGTGCTATTGGATATTTCTTGCTATTGCGCAATACTGTGCAATTGAAGATTTCTTGCTATTGCGCAATACTGTGCAATTGAAGATTTCTTGCTATTGTGCAATACTGTGCAATTGAAAATTTCTTGCTATTGCACAATACTTATTATATAATAATTTACACATCCTGTTTGGTGTGTATCTCCTACCATATCATTATTATTTGATTTTAAATATAAATCAGAAATAACCAACTTAAAATGGAAAATTTTAAAAGAAACAAAAAAGGAAAAAAAGAAAAAAAGGAAAAAAAAATAAATCCCCCCCCAAAATTTTTTGAACCCCCATTATGATTCATCACCCCCAAACTCAATACCAGCCTTCCCTTTGTGGTATGGTACCTTGCAGTACAATTTCAGAGAGATCCATACACTTGAACACAAGTTATTGTCTGGAAACTAGAAAAAAATGTGTTTTTTTGGCCCCTTTTTGGCCCCAAATTCCTAAACGTTTAGGGCAATTACCCCCAAACTCAAACCCAGCTTTCCCTTTGTGATATGGAACCTTGTAGTACAATTTCAGAAAGATCCATACACTTACACACAAGTTATTGTCATGAAACTAGAAAAATGCTTGTTTTTTGCCCCTTTTTTGGCCCCTAATTCCTAAAATTTGGAGGCAATTACCCCCAAAATCAATCCCAGCATTCCTTTAGTGATATGGAACCTTGTGGTACAATGTCAGAGAGATCCATACACTAACACACAAGTTATGTCTGGAAGTTACAAAAATGCTTATTTTTGGCCCCTTTTTGGCCCCTAATTCCTTTACTGTTATTACCATAACCCCCAAAATCAATCCCAACCTTCCTTTTGTGGTATTGAACCTTGTGGTAAAATTTCATAAAGATCCATTCACTTAAACTAAAGTTAGAGTGCGAAAACCAAGTGTCTTCGGACGACGCCGGAGACGCCGGACGACGACGACGCCAACGTCATACCAATATACGACCACAAAAATTTTTTTGCGGTCGTATAAAAATAAAAGCATACTTGCCAACTCACATGCATTTTAAGTGTAATGCCAGCTTTTTCAACTGTTTGCACATGCTTTTTTCATCAAACAACATGTACATGCATTCCATGTCTTTACATGCAATCACATGCATTCTCATAAATTCTTGTAATGATGCAGATTTTGGTTTTTTAGTTATTTACTTCCTGTTCGAAATCCTCATGTTTTTTTCATTGATCATTTATAATAACAAGGTTGCAAATGGTTTAATAGGATGATTTTCAGAGCAAATAAGAAACCGCACATGTTTTTAATGCATTTTAATATGATGTTTCAGTGTCCTAGGTAGACAACTTTGAACTATAGAAGATAAAATAAAAGTGTGTATGTAATAAATGGATTATCCTTTATTTTGGTTTTCATTTATTTTATACTCATAATAATCATATTTGATTCATTCTTTCTGTCATATATTCATACTCTTAAAGTCATCTGAGTTACTCATTTTACTAACCCGATTTGACCTTCAATGACCTGACCTTTTCATATACATGTGTACTAACATTTATATGCAGGGGTTTGCATTCTTTCAATTAATAAAGTTGCAACAATTAATGTTTACTCTTGGTCTATTAGTGAATTTTGTACGGTCCTTTGGGAGTAACATCCACAGCTTTTCTCTTAGTAGATATTTATATGTTTAATTTGTTTTGTTTCAGAAGGTTTCTTAAAAATTATAAAGAACAGAGTAATATTCAATTACCCTTTATTATAATCATGATAAATATTGAAAATTTGGTTTATGCTAAAACAAATTTGAACTATCTAGATAAAAGATTTTGTTTTAATGTACAGACCCAATACACAAAACTCACCTGTTGACAATCCAGGTTTTATTCCATTTGGCACTGCTAAAATTGATACTGACCCTACACAAAAGCTGAAAAACAGTACCAGTTTGTCTAATTACATAATGTACATACACCCTATACAAAGTAGACATTTGTAATAAACATATATTTAGTATTCATCTCTATTTTCTTAAATTTTGCTTTGATCATTTTGTGTGATAGTTTTCCAAGTCAAGCTACTCAACTTCTGATTTTTATCAGTCGAGAAGAGTGGGAAGATGATGGAGTCACAGGTCAATGTCATCTATATCACTTTCAATGAGATTGTAGACCAGAAACTCCCTCTTGTTTTAAAATCCATAGATAATCAATAAATATCTTTACTTTCTTTATAATCTAATAAGTGGTCAGTTTGTTAAGGATGTCTGATAGCAAATGCATGGTAAGGTGTGAGTTTTATCCTATACCATTGTTTGATTTTTCTCTTTATATTTCAGTTATTGTCACATGTACATCAATCAATTACTTTGATGTTTATATTATAGGGGTCTGAAAAGTCTTCAGTAAGGTATGAGTTTATCATTGTATAGAGTTGTCTGACTGTTTGTGTATATTCCAGATTTTGTCTATATGTATGGGGTCTGAATAAGTCTTCAGTAAGGTATAAGTTTATCATTGTATAGAGTTGTCTGACTGTTTGTGTATATTCCAGATTTTGTCTATATGTATTGGGTCTGAATAAGTCTTCAGTAAGGTATAAGTTTATCATTGTATAGAGTTGTCTGATTGTTTGTGTATATTCCAGATATTGTCTATATGTATAGGGGTCTGAATAAGTCTTCAGTAAGGTATGAGTTTATCATTGTATAGAGTTGTCTGATTGTTTGAGTATATTCTAGATCCAGTCTAATGTACACCTTTTCATCGTTATATTACCATCTTCTGTTAATTTGATAAAAAGCCTGCAATCCTCCTCTAAAACCATTACCAATGGACACTTGAAACTACAAATAATAAATTCTACTTTAAATCATGATTACTATGAGTGAAATGTTTCTGTATTAAATGGAAAAGGAACCCTAATTGATGAGCTGAAGCATAATAATATCATATAAAAATAAAATTGATATAAATGGGGAATGTGTCCATTGGACACGGATGATGCCCCCCTTTTGCATATAATGTCATAAAGGGACATAACTCAAGATAGGTAAAATTGACACTACTCAAATTTTTACTTGATCTGAGTTTTGTGGTAATAAGCATTGTGTATAAGTTTCATAACATTTGGTTAAGGCAAACATAAGTTAGAGAACAGAAACTAAAAATTCAGCAATCTTTCCATTTGAAAAGGGGCATAACTTTAGAAATGTGAAAGTGACACCACCCAAATTCAAACTTGATCTGTGTTTTGTGGTAATAAGCATTGTGTATAAGTTTCATAACATTTGGTTAAGGAAAACTTAAAGTTAGAGAACGGAAACCAATTTTGGGACCCTCTGCTACGGCGGGGGCATAAAAACATACATGTACATGGACATTCAATGCTGTATTTTGATTTGAGGAAGCTTTGCATTTAGCTTATGCACTTGTCATATTATATTTTTATACTATATAATCAGACAGATGTCATTTCCTATTATCATATTAATGGGTTAGAGCCTCATTGATTTATACACCAAATATCATTTTATTCATATTTCATTTGAGCACCCCCTAGCTAGGTTCAATTCTGTCCAGGCTCTTCAAAGAGTTGCAGATAAACTTAAAACTGTGACAGAATTGATCTTTTTCTGTCACTAGCAATAGCTGGTCACTGTCAGGTGACTCAATAAATCATTTACTACCTGTGGATGTTTGTTTTTGAATATATATGTAGTTCCTGAATTCAAAAAGAGGCTAATAAAAGGCTTGTTCTCTATCACTCTTAGATACATAATTTATCTGACCCTAGCGTTATTTATTGATTTCTGAAATAATCAAAGCCTTAAAGGCTGTAAAAGCAATTGCTGCCATGTTAATGTTTAGGGGACTTTTTCATCCACATATATATAAGAATTAAACCTGACAGGAGTGTTGTTTAGTGAGAAGTAAGAAGGTTTTAACTTTATATCAATAAAAGACTTTAGCAGAAAGTCATTTTTGATATAATGTTTTATATTTTACAAGGAGACAACACGTTTACCAGGCTAAAGTTGGGGTCAAATTTACATGTGCTGAAACATATAACTCAAAAAGAAATTATCCCCTGGTAGTGTTTGTAACTGGGCAATAATTTCCTTTATTGATTTAATTTTAACAATTATCATAATTAATTTAAATTTAACCATTCAATTAAAACATTTCAACTTTCCAGACGCAAATGTTGAAAAACAGGAAAGAAATAAAATATCTTACAAGACATAAACATGTAAAAAATAAATATATATTTCAGCTTACTAAAAATATTTTCATAATGTTACTTTGTCTTCATTTCTTAAAACTAAGACCCAAACATTATTGCTCAGTTGATATGTGTCATCCTCATGCGGTACGAGATAACTATGATTCTCATGCAATCCCGAAAAGGGGGGGGGGGGGTAATCACAGACAAACATGACATTAAATCGTCATTATACGAACAAGAACAAACAGCTCTTCGTTGCTTTCATATTTATCAATTTTCAGGAAACAATGCGAAAAATGATCTTCAATATTTCAAAAACGTGAAATAAAATTGCAAACACAGTGGACCGTCGAGTGTCAACACACGTAGTAGACTCGTCCACTGGAAAGACGAGGATAATGGTTTCATCATTTGTCATGCATACCCAGTTTTGATTATGATATCCAAAAGGACGTACTATCTATGAAACTAGAAAATTCCAAATTGTAAATATCTCTTCATCTGGACTTGGCATCTATCACGTTTTGACGGGTCCATTTCATTAGTAAGGTGATCGATAAAATCTTACGGAGTTTTAATAACAAAAAAGGAAAACGAACTTATTGTTATGTGTTTTTAACAAGGGTTTCGTTCCGCTAAATTATTTGCGCAAACAAATCAACAAAATAGGTCAGTTAAGTTTGTCTATTTTTAGATTACAGGTAATCATTTGACACTACATATAACCTGGGTAGTGATTTTGATTTTACGATAAATTTACGAATGAACGATAATTTTATGAATGAACAAGAGTACCTGGCCTCTTTCTTAGAGAAACACCAATTAAACATATAAAACCATATTTAATAAGAGATATCTCAGTAAAATTTTCAATACTAAATCAACAACTGAAATGATTCGATATTTTGTTGAAACATCGTACAAAAGGAGAACGGAATCGCAGGTGTAAAAATGAACTTTTTTTCACTCGGACTTCTATGTTTTTTGATAGTCAAACGGTTGTCCCCCTAAATACAAAAATACATCTACAAGAACATATGCTGAAACCTCTTAAATCCACTAACGTTTTTCAAAAGTTTCAAGCTATGTATTGCATTAGAAAACATACATAGGTGTTTAAGAATGACAGACCAGGAACCTGTTTAACAAAATACTATGGCTTGATCTGGGCGGAGTCTCTGATTTGCGTCACAAAGATGGCCATACGCGATGGCATAAAAGCAATTGCTTTAAAAACTGTATAATTATAATACCTCATTCCAACCTTTAGCTGACCACACCCTTCTCCATACTGTTGTAAACATTCCCTGTCCATTTCCATTCTGTGCCGTCACGTTACCACCAAGTCTGACTGTGTCTCGCCGTGTAAGAGGACATTCCACAGTTTGTACTAAACTCATACTACTAACCTCTAAACCACTTAAACCAGAACTATAATGTAACAAATACCATTATCACCAATAAACGATAATACAGAAAATTAAACCGTAACTACAATGTCTCATAAAACCTCTATCACAAATGTAGCATATTACTGCACTTAAACCAGAACTATAATGTAACAAATACCATTATCACCAATAAACTATAATACAACAATTAAACCAGAACTATAATGTAACAAATACCATTATCCACCAATAAACTATAATACAGAAAATTAAACCCTTACTACAATGTCTCATAAAACCTCTATCACAAATGTATCATAATACTGCACTTAAACCAGAACTATAATGTAACAAATACCACTAAACTATAATACAGAAAATTAAACCCTTACTACAATGTCTCATAAAACCTCTATCACAAATGTATCATAATACTGCACTTAAACCAGAACTATAATGTAACAAATACCATTATCACCAATAAACTATAATACAGAAAATTAAACCCTTACTACAATGTCTCATAAAACCTCTATCACAAATGTATCATATTACTGCGCTTAAACCAGAACTATAATGTAACAAATACCATTATCACCAATAAACTATGATACAGAAAATTAAACCCTAACTACAATGTCTCATAAAACCTCTATCACAAATGTATCATAATACTGCACTTAAACCAGAACTATAATGTAACAAATACCATTATCACCATTAAACTATAATACAGAAAATTAAACCCTAACTACAATGTCTCATAAAACCTCTATCACAAATGTATCATATTACTGCACTTAAACCAGAACTAAAATGTAACAAATACCATTATCATGAATATATCATACAGCTTTCACAAACTTATCATAATACTGCAATTAAACCAGAACTATAAAGTATCATAATATATACTGCAACATAAAGGCAAAACAATATGCACACCTACATTTCCTTACATTTGAGCCTTCCCTTGCAAAAAAATAATATAGAAATTTTCTATTGTGTGGATCTAACAGACAAGGATTCCTATTTTCATAAAACTTACAAATTAAATTTTGAGAGAAAAAGTTGTCATGACATTGTAAATTTTAAAAGTTTCATGTAGCCTGCCAATAATTCTAGAAGTGTAGCAATAATAATTCTACAATTCTAGAAATCTGGATTGAACTGTGCAAAGTCATTTTTCTGGATTCTGTAGATAAGATAAAAAAAAATTCAGCCCTACAGATCCTATTTTTGTGGGTGGAAACAATGTCAATATTTTTGGCCGTTTAATACTGCACTTTATACAGAAGTGTAATCTATCTATTAAATACACAAATATCTTATAATAGTGCACAAAACCAAGACTCATTTCACAACAAATCTTATGAGAAATATACTATACATAATAATGTGTAAATAAGGAATTATTTGAACCTGGAATAATTTTGAATTCTGGAAAATTTTTAAGCAATGTATGATGAAAACTAACCAAACTAAACAGGTTAGCCATGCATGCATGCTAAAGTTAATTTTACTTTCACAGATATTTCAGTGTGAATTAACTAACCCCCTTAAATTGGGTTAGTTTTGTAATAGATTTCTTATCAATTTTCCGGAATTCAAAATTATTCCACATTAAATTAATTCCTTGTTTGGAGTCATTTATTATCATTTGTACCAATTTTCGGGAGGACATTTTTTATTCTACAATTATTGTTTACCTGTATTCTTTATATTCTTCATTATAAAATAAATCAGAGGCGTTGAGTTCTATAACTACTTGACCCTGCAAAAAATAAATAAATAATGAAAACTGCTCTAAGCACTTAAAGGATATTGTCCAAAAACTTGAAAATCACCCCTTTTTTTATGAATAAAATCTTATAACTCAGAAACGTAAAATCTAAAATTTATAAAAATCAAAAGGGAGCTTACAACAATATATATAAACAATTTACCAAAGTTTCATAAAAAATGCTGAAAGCATTTTTGAGTTATTGTCCTAAAACTGAAAAATCCCCCTTTTTGTAATGAATAAAACCCCCATAAATCGGAAACGTATAGTCTAAAATTTATAAAAATCAAAAGGGAGCTCATGTCGATAGAATTAAACAATTCACCAAAGTTTCTTGCAAATTGGTGAAATTGTTTTTGAGTTATTGTCAGAAAACTGGAAAATCCCCCCTTTTTTAATGAATAAAACTCCAAAACTCAGAAACGGTAAATCCAAACATTATAAAAAACGCAAGGGAGCTCACGTCAATAGATATTAACAATTCACCAAAGTTTCATGCATATTGATTTAAGCGTTTTTGAGTTAATGTTCGACATGTTGACGACGGATGGACAGACGGTCAACGGTATACCATTATACGTCCCGTAAACGGGCGTATAAAAACAAGTCATTTACATGGCTGGATCATACAAGCCATGAAACAGCTTTGGGGAACTACTTTTTTATACAAAATTAATTGTACTCATTGTAATAAAGCCATAATTGTGGAGAATAATTCAATTCATATTATTAACAAATAATAAGTATATCATCATGATCATGTATATATAAAAAGAAGATGTGTATCTATCTCAAAACAGTATTCCTTAACATGAGATAATCTAATTGATCTACTATAACAATACTAGTAAAGGCATCTGTATCTAAGATTTTCTAGTTTCACAGTTGCTAAAGTATGGATGAAAACTACTTCATGGATTTCAATAGATAATTTTATTTTCATTTTATTTATTTACAACATAAGTTGAAATTTGAATCAAAGGATTGCACAGACTTCCTCTGTCAATAAAATTTCCACATTAATAACATACTGTTGTGAGGAAAGTGGCATTTAACAACAAGCAATCAATCAATAAATCAGGGTTTCTGCAGGCGAAAAAATAAAAATTGTGGCAATTAAAATTCATTATTGGCGAAGGAAATATAAGGGTTCAACTTCGTCCATCTTGTTGATTTTTTCTGGTTTCTTGGACTTTTTCCTTAGACAATAATGGAATTTTACTTTCAACCAGTGTGTTACGATTTTGACAGAAATATAGCTATCAACAACAATGGACTAATTAATGAAGATGTTGATTGTATTTTTTTCATGTAAATCTTACCCTTGGATTAGTCATCTGTTGTAATTTTCTTTCCTCCTCTTGTTTCGCTAACTCAGCAATTATTTCAGCTGCTGACTTTGATTTTGATATTAACTGCAAACAAGTCAAATATTTAAAATCTACTATTAGACTGGTTGCTATGAAATACATTTATTTCCCAATAAATAAAAACTGATAATTAGACATGTAAAATAATGCTAATAATTTCTCTCCTTTGACTTCATTCAGCAATGGGTGTTGCCAAGACATTGTTGAAGAAGTTGCACTAAAATGAATTGATAATGCACTGAAATGGATATGGTTCCTTGCATGTTCTACTTTATTTCCATTCAAAAGTCCATGGTCATTGAATAAAAAGAATAACTTATCCAAGAATTAGGTCTAATCTGATTGGTTCATCAAAGTATGTGTCAACAAACAACAGAATCGTTATCTGATTGGCCAATTTTTTTAACATGTCTACAGTTAGAATGGGAAAATACTAAAACTTATTTTGTTGATATTGTTGGGTTGATTGATGATGATTAATGGATAAAAAGAGAATTAATTAAGACTAGAGTCTGTGTTATTGACTTTTTTTCACTTTTAATTTTTTTACTAGCCATCCACGACAAGAACTTGCCTAATGATGACTTTCACTTGTAACAGGCAATCGGACAGTTGTTATTGTCGAACCCTGATAATCATCATCTCAATGTGCCCTAACAGTATTGTCAAGTTCACTGAGTTTTAGTATACCATACCCTGCACTCTGACAACATTGCAATTTGAATCAGCAGTTAATGTCATCTTTCCAACAAACATACATACCTCCATGCCTTCTATTTCTAAACCTTTCATTCCAAATTGGTCATAGACTGGTCTTTTGTTAGGATCTGTTAAAACTAAAATATAATATAAATTTTTTTTATCAACTTCATGTAGTTACAAAAATCAACATTTAATTTCAGATTAGATAAATATACATAAAAACATTTTTAAAACTTCAAAAGAGTTAACAAACAAGTTTTTATTTATAAAACTGTCATAAATGTGTGTTTTATTTAATAATTGAACCTAGAACTGTGAATGAACTCACAAAACATTATCTCCCACTTGCAAATTCTATTACATGTATTATATCTCCTTCAAATTGTTGGAACCCGATAGCATTCCTATAGACATATCATCAGGTAAAGTTCTACAACTGTGTAAAGTTTTATCCATATCCATCTAGAAAGAGACCAGGAACATGGACAGATGGATAAGAAGATGAACAGTTAGATAGACATATGAAAGGTTAACTCCTATATATAGAGTTGGGGTAAAAGTCAATGAGAGAGTAACCCAATGACACAATAATCTATAGAAATCTAAGACAGGTTTTTCTTGTCTTCTTTTTATTTTCTCCATTTACAAAAACATACATCAGACTCCTGGAAATACCAACTATGGGTGGGTGTCAAAAACAGTGAAAATCTAAGTCAAATTCTCAATCTTCCTCTATATTAGGTAGTTACCCCCAATCTTCCTCTATATTAGGTAGTTACCCCCAATCTTCCTCTATATAAGGTAGTTACCCCCAATCTTCCTCGTTACCCTCAATCTTCCTCTATATTTGGTAGTTACCCCCTAATCTTCCTCTATATTAGGTAGTTACCACCAATCTTCCTCTATATTAGGTAGTTACCCCCAATCTTCCTCTATATTAGGAAGTTACCCCCCAATCTTCCTCTATATTAGGTAGTTACCCCCAATCTTCCTCTATATTAGGTAGTTACCCTCAATCTTCCTCTATATTAGGTAGTTACCCCCAATCTTCCTCTATATTAGGTAGTTACCCCAATCTTCCTCTATATTAGGTAGTTACCCCCAATCTTCCTCTATATTAGGTAGTTACCCTCAATCTTCCTCTATATTAGGTAGTTACCCCCAATCTTCCTCTATATTAGGTAGTTACCCTCAATCTTCCTCTATATTAGGTAGTTACCCCCAATCTTCCTCTATATTAGGTAGTTACCCTCAATCTTCCTCTATATTAGGTAGTTACCCCCAATCTTCCTCTATATTAGGTAGTTACCCTCAATCTTCCTCTATATTAGGTATTTACCCCCAATCTTCCTCTATATTAGGAAGTTACCCCCAATCTTCCTCTATATTAGGTAGTTACCCTCAATCTTCCTCTATATTAGGTAGTTACCCCCAATCTTCCTCTATATTAGGTAGTTACCCCCAATCTTCCTCTATATTAGGAAGTTACCCTCAATCTTCCTCTATATTAGGAAGTTACCCCCAATCTTCCTCTATATTAGGTAGTTACCCTCAATCTTCCTCTATATTAGGTAGTTACCCCCAATCTTCCTCTATATTAGGCAGTTACCCTCAATCTTCCTCTATATTAGGTAGTCACCCCCAATCTTCCTCTATATTAGGAAGTTACCCCATTTTTAAAGCATCTTCACTACCGGTAATCTCCTACATGTACCTTTAAAAACTTTTGAAAATACATATATATATTAGTTTACCTTCATGAGCCTTCTTGATTTTATTGAACATGTTTTCTGCATGCTTTTTCTTTTTATCATCTAAATGTTTGTCTGGGTGGAAGATTTTACTAAATCTACGAAAGGCAGTGTTGATTTCATCTGTACTAGCCTGAAATATAAATCAAACTTCTGATTGACTTAGGGCAGAAATGAACATTTTTGTTAAACTGGTAAAGACATACATATAAAAATAAGGAGATGTTGTATGATTGCCAATGAGACAACTATCCTTCAAAGTTAGAATAAAGAAAATGTAAGCAATTAAAGGCAACCATACAGCCTTCAACAGTGGAAAAAGCCCATACCGTATAGTTGGCTATAAAAGGTCCCGACATAAAAAATATGAAACAATTCAATTTAGAAAACTAACAGCCTAATTTATAACAAAACAATTTACGAAAAACAAATATGACAGACATGAACCAACAACATGTTATTTCTTGAGAATCGAGCTGGCTCAATCTAATTTTGAATCTGTGAACACCAATAAAAACATAGAAAACAGATAAAAGTTGAAGCTGAGAGACCAATTTTCGTGAATTCAGAAAAAAGTGTTTCTTTAGTGGATATTTTAAATATAAAAATAGTACTCTGTTGAACATTTAAATTCGTGGTCCACCAGTATTCATGAAAATTAGTATTCCATGAATAATAATGAATCCAAAGTATTGGAACACAGTATTGGAATTTTGTGCATAGAAAGATAACTTAAACATTTATTTCCCAAAAAAATTTAAGAAAAGACAACAGTTCAGGGTCGGCGATAAAAAAAAGTAGGGTTAGTCAGATGATGGTTGTAGGGAGGCAAAGGGAAATTCTCCTTTCCATAACCTTACAATAAAGTTTTATTCTATTGCCCGAAATGGAGAATTTCACAATATTGATGCAAATTTATTTAAATATTTAATTAATAAATAAGAATTTGTGCTGATTTCTTACATAACTGATCTTCTTTTTTTATAAATATTTTTAATCTAAGGATTTTGATGTGTACATGGTGGATGGAAAGAGAATACATCACTGGAGAAACACATTTGCTGTATTTCACTGATAATTGTAACTTATTAACCTAATTTTGTTTCTCGTTTCAAAATTACTATAGGGAACATATATTACATTATTGTAGTAAATAAACCATTTTTTAAGACATTTCAGCAGCTAGCCATCTTCAGATTCTATATTATCCTTCTTAACTACATGGTGAACATTTCACTTTTAAAATCATTAAGATGTTATAGATTTAGTTCCTTGGTAATCAGGTAATGTTATAACATCATGATAATTTGACGTCACAAAATAATTTGACGTCACAAAATAATTTGACGTCATAAAATCTTATTAACTTTTTTTTTACTAATATCAGATGATTAAGACAATGAATTTACAAGTAAAAAAGACTCTGCTTACATTTTTTATACAGATTTTATTTTTTGTCTTTTCCATTTTCATGATTTTGTGAACTTTGAAAAAAAAAATCATCTTATTTTCAGGGTTGGCAAAAACCTGGGTTTTGTGAATATTGTCCAGCACAGTGGGAAATACTAGGAAAACAGGGGTTTTACAGAGTAATACCAGTTGGTGCTATTATAAATACTGGTTTGAATTTTTAAGGGGATTCTGTGATGCAATGCATAAAAGATTTATATAGATGTAATATTTCAATTATTGATAAGCCTTCTTATTTCAAAGTGTTAATTTTTGAGAAAGTATAGGTCCAGCAACTCTTTAGATTAAAGAACCTTTGTGAGCATGCTCACATACCCCACTCCCCCACATTGTCACTGGACACTGTAGTGTGGTTTCAGAGGAGTTGCAATGACAAACTGTTGCAGTAGTATATCAAGGCCAAAAGTGGCTTAACTCATAGAAAAAATTGTTGAATCATAATTTCCTGACAATATGCATATCTACTATGTCTACATAGTATGTTCTTATTATCTACAAAGTTTCATGAAATTCTGTTTTGAGGTTTCAGAATAGTTGCGATGACAAGAACCGGACTGACAGATTGACAGAATTTTACGAAGGACTGACAGGTCAAAAACATTAAAGCCTACAGAACTGTGTTCCGTGGGGTATCATAAACATGAGAACAAATAGACTAATGTGAAAAGTTTTCTCAATCAGAATTATTTATTGAAATCATACGAACATATCTTTTGCTCTGCCCCTGGCATCAGACATTTTATTTTGTGACATCTTAATTTTATGGTAAAAGCTGTGATACACTGAAATTGCAGTAATAAGGTGTAATGATCACTGGCTCCATTAATAACACATCAAATTTGAATTTATCAATACTATTATTTTTTTTATACTGTAGTACTAGTATATGGTATATATATAGATGAAAAATGTGCATGATGTAATTCAATGTCAAAAGGGTCAGTTTAGTCAATTACGTGGCTTTCAATTGGAAATCAAATTAATTTGTCCTAAACAGTTTTTAGCTGATAAAAATGCTATATCAATACATTTCGGTCAACGTTTAAAACAGCATATAAATCTTCAGATGCAAGACCATCTTCTTCCATGAACGCTGCCATTCTTCAATCTGGTACCTTGTAAAAATACAGTGTAGAGCAAAGGCTATGAAATGCTTTTTGATACCAGGTCGATAGTCAAACTGGTTTACGTTTGACAATACCAGTATGAATAGGTCATGATTGAGGTCATGTTGTTTTATGTAACGGTAGAGGTGAGGGCTATACTAAAGAGCATCGAGCATACACATTTTCAAAGAAAAGCCAAGTAGATGATTCCTGATGTATGTTATGTATTTGGAACATTTATAATTTTTGTTGAAAAGTGAGATAGAAAACAACTGTTTGTGCTGTTTCATGGTTTTTACCTAAAGTCAGTAAAGAAATTTGTGTGCCTAGTGCATAAATTGGTCACATAAGACTTTTTCACAACCATTATGCTCATAAGGAGCAAGCATTCGCCACCACTAGCAGATCATTTTTTAAAACACTAAAGACAAATTAACTGCCAAAAATAAGTTAATATTCATAATTGTGAAATATAGTCCAAATAATTATGAAGTCTTAAAAGGCTATTTTATTTTTTTGCTTTGACGCCTTCCTGTGACAGCCTTTCAAGACGTCATAATTATTTGGACTAAGTGAAATATAGACATGGTGCGCTTATTTTTTCTTATCATTTTTATTCATTTGCGCCATGCAGATACACGTAACCTTAACCCTCTTGCTGCCTCTAAATTTATGTGGTTGTAGTTCCTGTGCCAGAAAATAGGATAGCTTGATGCTTGTTATGACGTATGCCCAACAATGATGTCTTTCGACATGTCACCATGCAGGCATGCCCTAATGATGTTACGAAGAAAAATATTACACAGTTTAATCTTCGATATTTTATTTGAAAGAGATACAGCAATGATAAGAAGCTTGCACAATTAAACATATGGACATATGTGTCCCTCGGGTAGCAAGAGGGTTAAACCAGTCAACTGGGAAAGTGACCACATGTACATCTCCTTAATTTTATATGTGATGCACTATCATGTCAAGAGAATGATTTTTTCAATCACTGATTATATCTGTATGATATGATAATGATAAAGCATGTAAATATTACTATAAACTGTTTCACGAGTCATGATCAAGCTTACCTCCCTTTTTTCACCATTGTGGAGGCGCAAGTGCATCAATTTCTTCATAAATCAGCCAATTTCATCTTGTTATACTGACTGCTATACTTTAGAATAAGTTGTTTCCTGCTATTCCGTATCAAAATAAGTATGAAGGGTGAGTTGGATAGGGAGAAAATGACAATTTTTTAAGATAACTTCTCTAAATTTAATTATCACAACTATAATCAACCAATTTTTTTGCTACTTAGAACTTACAAAAATTAATATGTCTGTATTTGCATAGTTTTCTGATCTCACATAAGCATGATAAGCAAAATATAAGCAATAGAAAGTTTGGGCTTCAAACGTCAATATAAAATACATTGTACTTCACATCTCCTTTTCAAAGCCTTAATTTCTTTAAGATATTATACAAGCAAAATCATTTTTTGAAATACTACAAAAAATTTCATTCTGATTATTCATGTTAATTCAGTTGGATACATGTAGGACTTTCTTGAAATTCACTTCGGATAGCCTAAATCTGATTTTAAAATTACAATTTAGTACAAATTATTTCCTTTGTTGGGAAGTGTACTGGTATACATACTGGTTCACTGCAGTGAGAGCAATTAGAAGTAAAAGAAACCTAGTATATGTTTCTTTGATTCATAAGCATTTCCAGCTTTATAATAGAGTTTGATTATAAAAGAGGGACGAAAGATACCAAAGGGACAGTCAAACTCATAGATCGAAAACAAACTGACAACGCCATGGCCAAAAATAAAAAGACAAACAGACAAATAATAGTACCGGTACAGATGACACAACATAGAAAATTAAAGACTAAGCAACACGAACCCCATAAGTATGTTGGAAGGCAAAACACCATTAGTAATTTCTAAATTTATATAAATCAAATATTATCTTTAAATCAACAGGGATTAAAAACTGCTAATCAATGACTCATCATTGAGCTTTATTTTTGTTACAGAGCATTTCTCACAGGCAAGGGAAATAACCTGTGTTAAATTATAATTTAAGTGTAAAATTCATGATTCAGTAAATGAGTTCATAGAAAGGGCTATTGTCACGGCTGGTAATCTACACACGCAGAACAATCGGTTCTGCAATGAAAACCGTGAGAGGATTTTCCGGTTATGCTTGAGTGGAGTAATTGTCACCGCTTCGAAAGGTATGTACATTTCTAAATCGAAATTTTCTAGTTCAATTGATCAAAATATTGAAAATCGGAGAATGCTATGCTGTGGTGAATACTTTAACGAAGAGACACATGTATCATTAACTGTTGTGCATGGAGTAAAACTCCTACAAAATCAATCGTCCCACGAGTAATTGATGAAAAAAGTGACATTTCAATTTTGAGATGGTTCTATTAACAGACCTACAAGTTCAAATTTAGTTTTTTTTCTGTCAACGGGATTGAATGTCGTTTTGGGCGGCGTGTACGCTGTCCGAAGTTGAAAGACGTCGTAATTAATCTAGAAACTGCCAATTTTCATTATTTCATGCGTGAGGGGATCGGTTCTGATTAAGGACATCGTGAATGCGTGAGAGGAAGTGCAATTATAGTCAATCATAAATCTAAACCACTTATATTTACGTTGCAGCCATTTCCATATTCATTGTCAATTTATATTTAGTATGAACTTCAATAAAACTGTGCAAGTTACTTGCCTTTCTTTGAAAAAAGTAAAATCACAAAAATACTAAACTCCGAGGAAAATTAAAAAAAGTCCCTAATCAAATGGCAGAATCAAATGATAAAACACATCAAACGAATGGACAACAACTGTCATATTTCTGACTTGGTACAGGTATTTTCAAATGTAGAAAATGGTGGATTGAACCTGGTTTTATAGCGCTAAACCTCTCACTTGTATGACAGTCGCATCAAATTCCATTATATTTACAACGATGCGTGAACAAAACAGACATAATAGGTAAAGTTGTCAAAATAGGGGTCAGCAGTCATCACCATGTCACAATCTCAATTAGAACAAAAACAAACAAATATTTAACAAAGAAGCATAAAAAAGTATCTATCAAATTTAGCAACCACATTCATTGCTTACTTATATATGTATTTTAAATCAACCAATAAAGGATTGAAATATTTGAAGGCCTGTGACTGAATGGCAAGGTTCACATCAACTCTAGTGTAGAGTCGCGTGTTTGACGTCAGAATGTAAACGTCACACAGTAAGAGATATAAAATAATTTTGTCGTTGAAGTGATTGTTGCATTTTTCGATATAAAGATATGTTTGCACTTCCCCTCACGCATTCACGGTGTCCTCAATCAGAACAGTTCCCCTCACGCATGAAATAATGAAAATTAGCAGTTTTTAGATTTATTAAGACGTCTATCAACTTCAGACAGCGTACACGCCGCTCAAAACAACATTCAATCCTGTTAACAGATTAAAAACTAAATTTGAACTTGTAGGTCTGTTAATAGAACCATCTCAAAATTGAAATGTCACTTTTTTCATCAATTACTCGTGGGACGACTGATTTTGTAGGAGTTTTACTCCATGCATAACAGTAAATGATACATATGTCTCTTCGTTAAAGTATTCACCACAGCATAGCATTCTCCGATTTTCAATATTATGATCAATTGAACTAGAAAATTTCGATTTAGAAATGTACATACCTTTCGAAGCGGTGACAATTACTCCACTCAAGCATAACCGGAAAATCCTCTCACGGTTTTCATTGCAGAACCGATTGTTCTGCGTGTGTAGATTACCAGCCGTGATTGTCATCAAATGCTTTTAAAAGTGAACTTCATATAGCAAACATTGAATTCCCTCACAATTTTTTTTCACTCACTATAGTTACAAGTTAAAATGAATATTCTATCCACGAAAAATCCACTTGATGTATTGGCCCTGGCAAAATTGAAGATATTGGTCCCTAGATTAACCAAGTAGAGGGCCAATATAGCTAATAAAAATATATACCAGGGCCAATGTAGAAACAGTCAGTTCATAACAGTCCTTCATTATACAATAAGTAATAACTAAACACTTAATCTTATTCAGGTGCAGGAAATCATACATAAATAATTTTTTTCAGTCATGATGTTGTCAATACTAATGATAGTTCTGATTTCCAATCCTAGTACTTCAGTATCTGCTAACAACTTTCATTATTTTGCAGATAAAAAGAACATGGGAAGGATAAATCAGACATTTAACCATATTTATTCTAAGTTATGTCTGGGTAATTAAAATACACAATGTTATATTTATTTTATAGAACTATAGAAATAAACATTACAGATGGTTTGAGGAGAACAGTCATGTTATGCTATTTTAAGGAGAACAGTCATGCTATTTTAAGGAGAACAGTCATGCTATTTTAAGGAGAACAGTCAAGCTATTTTAAGGAGAATAGTCAAGCTATTTTAAGGAGTCATGCTATTTACTGATACAACCCCCTAGGAAATGCTACAGAAAAGGATACACATATTTCATCAACATGTACATTTATTACCAAAGAAAAATACATTAGTCTGTCCAAACCTCAGCATATGTCACAGATCTGTTCACTGTAGTAAAAGACTGACCTCATTTAATGTGAAGTCCAGATTTACTTTTTGTTGTAACAGGTACATTTCAACTGCTCTATTACCAAGATCGTCAAGTATTGGTTTCAGATTTACCTCAAATGAACTGATAAATTTACCTAGAGATAATGTTGGAGGACCTCACATTATTTTATCCTACTTCTCCACATCAGGTTCTGGACACAATGAAGTTCTTTATTTTGCAAATGTGAGAAGAAAAACGCAGAATGTTTCTTCAGTTTTATCCTGGAAAGGAAAGATAATTTTATGTGGACAACACTTCTTTTTCACTAGCAGTATAAATTGCCAGATTGGTTATAAGCTGAAAAACAATGTCAAAGACTGTTATTCTTTATTTAACCTGTCACCTGACTGTACGGAGGAGGAGTTACGAGAGGCCTATCTACGCCTCGCTAAACAGTATCACCCAGACAGTGGGACATCAACAGCATGTCCTCGCAAGTTTTCACAGATTCAGGATGCTTATAAAGCCATAAAGGTATGATCAGTTGATTCATAAATCGGGAGTGAATTGAAGATCCTTTAAAATATTCAGAATTTAACAATTGTGAATGGAGATATAATGTATCAAACAAGATGCACAGAAATTGAATCTGTTTCTCTAATGCATTCTTTGTTACATTACTATACACATGCAATATGACATAACAAAATCGTAAGAACGGAAGAAATTTGAATGTCATAATTAAATTTTAATAAATGGTGAAATAATTTTGGACATTTGTATTCTTTTCAAGCGGGATGTTTAAAGACACACCCACGTTCATTTTGATCTATAAAGAGGCTAACTCCTAACTATCCTACTGCCTGTCGATACATTTATTTTTGGCATTGCACAAGTCATATGTCTTCTTTGACTGTCCATGACGTTAAAATACTAAATCCCTGGGATGTGTTTTAGTTGATTTTAGTCTCTGATGCATGATTTTTTATTACTAATTGCTTTTGGCTTTTAACTAGCTGTCAGTAACTGCGAGTACTCTCAAATCATACTTTCTTGTTTATTTGACCTGTTGATACTAATTGTAATGCTTTTTTGTTATTTAATGTTTACTTATTAAGGGTTATATCTGGTCTATATACATTTGTACCAGCTTTAATAAGTGTTTGGTATTACTATAAATTTTCACTTCTTCGTACTATGAACATCAAAATTATTTATTTTGTAAAAATATTTCCTTTCTCCATTTGAACTGTACACGTATACCTAACAACAAAATTATTTTCATTTACCTGTGTTTAAAGTAATTGCAAATGGCTGATATTTTTGTTCATATTGTTTTTCTTAAATTGTTTAACATTTCACAGCGGTATAATATGTTACTTTAATTATTCTTCTCTTAGTTTATTTATTTTGTATTTACATTGTATCATAGATCAAATTTATTTGTTCAGTGTATGTTCACTGGTGTTAATATGTCTTTTGATTGAGTTAAGCCATTTCAATTGATATTTTATAGTGTGTCTTTCTATGTTGTGATTTTGCACTATTGTTTCAGAGAAGGGTGAAGGTTTGGTACCATTAAAACATTTAAACCCGCTGCAATTGTTTGCACCTGTCCTAAGTCAGGAATCTGATGATCAGTAGTTGTTGTTTGTTGATGTGGTTCATAAGTGTTTCTCGTTTCTCGTTTTTTATATAGATTAGACCGTTGGTTTTCCTGTTTGAATGGTTTTACACTAGTAATTTTTGGTGCCCTTTATAGCTTGCTGTTCGGTGTGAGCCTAGGCTTTGTGTTGAAGACGGTACTTTGACCTATAATGGTTTCCTTTTATAAATTTTGACTTGGATGGAGAGTTGTCTCATTGGCACTCATACCACATCTTCTTATATCTATATGTTACAAAATATATATGCAACAATTTTTTGAACCAAAAAATCTCATATATTTTATGTATTTTACCTGAAAAAGACTTTTTCTTGCTGCATAATAAAATATTTAATTTAAATTAACATTATATTCTATTATCATGATTATCAAACTGAATTGAGCTATCTCCCCTGAGAGTTGTAATTTTTTTTCAAAATGTTGAATCAATAAAGAAGTTGTATATACTTGAATGCATCTGCAAACAAAGACAGCAAAATACTCAAATACTACCGTAATTAAATGTTTCACATTCATATACCAACTTGAACAACTTAAAAATCTGATTAATACATTTACCATTCTATCCATACATATAATAAATATCCAACATTATCCCATTCAATAGAACTTTGACAGCTTAAAATCAGAGGAAGTTAAAATACAGATAAACAAATATGTGAAGCTAGTAAAATAATCACTACTCAGAAAATGTAATTTGAATAGGCAGTGTTAAAGTCATTCAAGTTGAATAATAATGTTTAAAACCCTTGAAAATGCTTAAGTGAATGGGTGGTTGATGGTAAAAAACAAACAGCTTTTAGGTCAAAGTATCTGAAGAAGAAACTTAAGAAGCTGATATGGAGAATTGTGGCACATTAAAAATCATGACCAGACTGGACCCAGATGGACTATACATGTATGTGTATGCTGGTACATTATAGAAAAGTAATGTTTTTATGTACATGTACCTTAAATGACAAAGGTAGGGAGAGGGGGAACCCTTTTTCTGATCTTTGTTTGTTAATAAATTACTAATTTTTTTGGTGCAGGAAAATATGAGAGCTGATCTACAGATGCCAGTTGACATTGTTGAAGAGGAGGAAAAGGGAGAATTTGACTTTCCTCACACACTACCTCAACATAGACAGTACCTTGGTAATGAGGTATGTATATACACACACACACACTACCTCAATATAGATGGTACCTTGGTAATGAGGAATGTATAAACACACACTACCTCAATAGACAGTACCTTTGTAATGAGGTATGTATACACACACACTACCTCAACATAGACAGTACCTTGGTAATGAGGTATGTATATATACACACACACACTACCTCAACATAGATGATAATTTGATAATGAGGTATGTATACACACACACACACACACACACACACTACCTCAACACAGATGATACCTTGGTAATGCGGTATGTATACACACACCCACACACTACCTCAACATAGACAGTACCTTGGTAATGAGGTATGTAAACACACACTACCTCAACATAGATAATACCTTGATAATAAGTAGATATAAGAAGATGTGGTATGAGTGCCAATGAGACAACTCTCCATCCAAGTCAAAATTTATAAAAGTAAACCATTATAGGTCAAAGTACAGTCTTCAACACGGAGCCTAGGCTCACACCGAACAGCAAGCTATAAAGGGCCCCAAAAATTACTAGTGTAAAACCATTCAAACGGGAAAACCAACTGTCTAATCTATATAAAAAACAAGAAACGAGAAACACTTATGAACCACATCAACAAACGACAACTACAGAACATCGTATTCCTGACTTAGGACAGGTGTGTATACACACACACTGCCTCAATAGACAGTACCTTGGTAATGAGGTATGTATACATACACACTACCTCAACATAGACAGTTCCTTGGTAATGAGGTATGTATACACACACACACACACTACCTCAACATAGATAATACCTTGGTAATGAAGTATGTTTACACACACACACACACACTACCTCAACATAGATAATACAACATGTACCTTGGTATAAATAAGGTATATATGCACACACACTACCTCAACATAGATAATACCTTGGTAATAAGGTATGGATACACACACACTGCCTCAATAGACAGTACCTTTGTAATGAGGTATATATTATAATACACACACATACTACCTCAACATAGACAGTACCTTAGTAATGAGGTATGTATACACACACACTATCTCAACATAGACAGTACCTTGGTAATGAGGTATGTTTATACACACACACTACCTCAACATAGAAAATACCTTGGTGATAAGGTATGTACACACACACACTACCTCAACATAGATAATACCTTGGTAATGATGTATGTATACACACACACTGCTTCGATAGACAATACCTTGGTAATTAGGTATGTATATACACACATACACTACCTCAACATAGACAGTACCTTGGTGATAAGGTATGTATACACACACACTGCCTCAATAGACAGTACCTTGGTAATGAGGTATATATTATACACACTACCTCAACATAGACAGCACCTTGGTAATGAGGTATGTATTCACATTCACACACACACACACACACACACTACCTCAACATAGATAATACCTTTGTAATAAGATATGTATACACACACACACTGCCTCAATATAGACAGTACCTTGGTAATGAGGTATGTATACACACACACTAACTCAACATAGATAATACCTTGGTAATAAGGTATGTATACACACACACTGCCTCAATAGACAGTACCTTGGTAATGAGGTATATATACACACACTACTTCAACATAGACAGCACCTTGATAATGAGGTATGTATACACACACACACACACTTCCTCAACATAGATAATACCTTGATAATAAGGTATGTTTACACACACACTGCCTCAATATATGATATAAATTAGAACTGGGTATGCCATGTATGCATAAATACATACTGTTTCAATAGAACTCATTCAATTTTCAAGTGCTTTATTTTGTAATTTATTTATCAGTTTTTCCATGTTCTTTTTGTTTATTCTGGAGCACCAAAATGTCAATTGGTGTAAAACTAACCTATTTCTATTTGTTTACAATTTTGTACTTTTTTTTAAATTTTTTGAGAGATGATCATAATTTGTAGTAATTTGCACAGTATGTCTTAAAAATCCAGACAAATTGGGAAGTATAGCGAATATACTTATAAATAGTATATGATGTACATGAAGCTGGTTTTTGTCTCACCCCAAGGTCACAGAAATGAGCCTTAGGTGTACTGTTTTCAGCAAGAGCATCTTCAACATTTTTTTTTAGAATTTGGATTAGATCAGTTTAATGGGAACCCCTAATGGGAAGTTAATGATATTTGGCATGTAGCTATATTGGCATTGGCACATCTAATTTCCAAGGAGATTACTTGGCTCTGCCCCTCAGTCATTGATAATTTTGCATAGTTTACATGTTAAAATTTGTGATTATTTCAGGTTAAAACCTCTAATGGTAGGTCAGTAATTTTAGGTATGCCTTTATATTAGCATTAGTTCATCTCATTTTCAAGGAGATTATATGGCCCCATTCTCAGTGATGGTTCATTGACATTTCAACTTTTGCATGTTTTACATGTTAAGGGTGTGGTAAGTTCATCATACGGGGAACTACTTATTATACGTCAATGATATGAGATAAACACTTGTATAAGCATTGACATGTCTCATTTTTACTGAGATTATTTGGCCCTTGACCTTCAATCATGGGTCATTAACTATCAATGTTTTGCATAGTTAAAGTATTGCCATTTTAATTTCGACATTTGCATTTTACTACCAAAGTTACATACATGCAAGACAAATATCTGTGTCAACAGTTTATTTATGGATATAGTAAAACCAATGTTAAAACTTAAAACCAATGTAAAAGAACATGTATAGACATTATAATTTGTATATTTATTGCAGGGTGTAGGGTTTGGTAACCCTAGCCAGAGACAGAGCCAATATAACAAATATAAAGTACAAAGAGCATCAGAAGTTGTGACTGAGTTCAGAATGAGTAAAAATGTCTTGCAAACAGAAACATCAGCATTAGCAGTTAATAAGAAGCAAGCCAAGAAAAGTAAAATTAGGTCAGCAGTTGAAGTAACTTGCAAAATTAATGAATAACCAGTATGAATGGCCTATTTAAATATTAAACATGTTTGGTTTCATGTAAAAAATATCCTCTGGATTTCTTTATCGAAAAATTTCTGACTTTTATAGAATAAGGCTATTTTTTTAAAACTATAATAAGTTGTAGCAATCTGTAAAAAATGTTTGTTTTAAAAAAAATTCTTATATTTTCTAGTTTTAAATCCTTTGTTTTTAAGCTTTGCAGGCACAAATTGTAGAATAAATGTCCTAATTGAGTTTACATAGAAATGTATGGCCAATAAGATAAAAGGAGTATTTACAACAGTATAATTAAGAGTATTATTGTTCACATTAAAAGCTTAAATGCAATCCACTTATGTCATTTTTGTTGAGCCTGCGACTTTTGTCGCAGAAAGCTCGACATAAGGATAGTGATCCAGCAGCGGCGGCGTTAACTAACTTCTTAAAAGCTTAATATTTCAGAAGGTAGAAGACCTGGATGCTTCATACTTTGTATATAGATGCCTTATGATATGATGTTTCCGTCTGTCATATGTCCATTGTCCTTGACCTCATTTTCATGGTTCAGTGACTACTCGAAAAAAAAAAATCAGATTTTTTGTAATGTTAATTTCTCTCTTATTATGAGTTATAGGATAACTATATTTGGTATATGCGTACCTTGCAAGATCCTCATGCCTGTCAGTCAGTTTTCACTTGACCTCAACCTCATTTCATGGATCAGTGAACAAGGTTAAGTTTTCATGGTCAAGTCCATATCTCAGATACTATAAACAATAGGTCTACTATATTTGGTGTATGTAATGATTGTAAGGTGTCCAACTGGCAGGTGTCATCTGACCTTGACCTCATTTTCATGGTTCAGTGGTTAAAGTTTAGTTTTTGTGATTTGGTCTATTTTTCTATTGCTGTATGCAATAGGTTAACTATATTTGGTGTATGGAAATATTTTACGATGTAAATGTCAGTCTGGCAGGTTTTATTTGAACTTGACCTCATTTTCACAGTTCATTGCTCAATGTTAAGTTTTTGTGTTTTGGTCTGTTTCTCTAATACTATATGCAGTAGGTCAACTATATTTGGTGTATGGAAATATTTTACGATGTACATGTCAGTCTGGCAGGTTTTATTTGACCTTGACCTCATTTTCACGGTTCATTGCTCAATGTTAATTTTTTGTGTTTTGGTCTGTTTTTCTAATACTGTATGCAGTAGGTCAACTATATTTGGTGTATGGAAATATTTTACGATGTACATGTCAGTCTGGCAGGTTTTATTTGACCTTGACCTCATTTTCATGGTTCATTGCTCAATGTTAATTTTTTGCGTTTTGGTTTGTTTTTATACGCCCGTTTACGGGACGTATTATGGTATATCGTTGACTGTCTGTCCGTCCGTCTGTCCGTCCATCTGTCTGTCCGTCTGTCTGTCCCTCCATCTGTCTGTCCGTCCGTCCGTCGTCAACATGTCGAACATTAACTCAAAAACTCTTTACCCAATTTGCATAAAACTTTGGTGAATTGTATATATCTATTGACAAAAGCTCCCTTTCATTTTTCATAAATTTTAGATTTTACATTTCAGAGAAATGGGGTTTTATTCATTATAAAAAGGGGTGGGGGGGTTCCAGTTTTCGAACAATAACTAAAAAATGCTTTCTCCAATTTGCAGGAAAAATTCTGGTCAATTGTTTTTATCTATTGACATAAGCTCCCTTTCGATTTTTATAAATTTTAGATTTTACATTTTCGAGTTATGGGGTTTTATTCATTAAAAAGGGGGATTTTCTAGTTTTCGGATAATAACTCAAAAATGCTTTCAGCAGTTCTCATGAAACCTTGGTGAATTGTTTATATCTATTGACGTAAGCTCCCTTTTGTTTTTATAAATTTTAGTTTTTCGTTTCCGAGTTATGGGGTTTTATTCATTAAAAAAAGGGGGATTTTCAAGTTTTCAGACAATAACTAAAAAATGTTTTCACAGTTCTCATGAAACTTTGATGAATTGTTTAAATCTATTGATGTAAGCTGCCTTTTGATTTTTTTAAATTTTAGATTTGATGTTTCGAGTTATGGGGTTTTATTCATTAAAAAAAGGGGGATTTTCCAGTTTTTTGACAATACCTTTAAAGTGCTTTGAGCAGTTTTCATTAAACTTTCGTGCCTGGTTTATATCTATTAAGATAACCTCCCTTTATTTGTTTATAGTCTGACAACAGATTTACTAAGTATTGCGCAACAGCACAGTGTATTGCACAACAGCAAGAAATCTTTAATTGAATATAAATTCAATTCATATAACCAATTTCAAGTTTTTTGACTACATTTATTCAGAAACCTATAATATGTCAAATATTTAATTACAATCCAAATTCAGACCTGTATCAAGCTTGAATATTGTGTCCATTTTTGCCCAACTGTTCAGGGTTGGACTTCTACGGGCGTATCCAGCTGCGCTCAGCAAAGCAGTTTATTCTAATACTGTATGCAGTAGGTCAACTATATTTGGTGTATGGAAATATTTTACGATGTACATGTCAGTCTGGCAGGTTTTATTTGACCTTGACCTCATTTTCACGGTTCATTGCTCAATGTTAATTTTTTGTGTTTTGGTCTGTTTTTCTAATACTGTATGCAGTAGGTCAACTATATTTGGTGTATGGAAATATTTTACGATGTACATGTCAGTCTGGCAGGTTTTATTTGACCTTGACCTCATTTTCATGGTTCATTGCTCAATGTTAATTTTTTGTGTTTTAGTCTGTTTTTATACGCCCGTTTACGGGACGTATTATGGTATATCGTTGACTGTCTGTCCGTCCGTCTGTCCGTCCATCTGTCTGTCCGTCCGTCCGTCGTCAACATGTCGGACATTAACTCAAAAACTCTTTACCCAATTTGCATAAAACTTTGGTGAATTGTATATATCTATTGACAAAAGCTCCCTTTCATTTTTCATAAATTTTAGATTTTACATTTCAGAGAAATGGGGTTTTATTCATTATAAAAAGGGGTGGGGGGGGGTTCCAGTTTTCGAACAATAACTAAAAAATGCTTTCTCCAATTTGCAGGAAAAATTCTGGTCAATTGCTTTTATCTATTGACATAAGCTCCCTTTCGATTTTTATAAATTTTAGATTTTACGTTTTCCAGTTATGGGGTTTTATTCATTAAAAAGGGGGATTTTCTAGTTTTCGGATAATAACTCAAAAATGCTTTCAGCAGTTCTCATGAAACCTTGGTGAATTGTTTATATCTATTGACGTAAGCTCCCTTTTGTTTTTATAAATTTTAGTTTTTTCGTTTCCGAGTTATGGGGTTTTATTCATTAAAAAAAGGGGGATTTTCAAGTTTTCAGACAATAACTAAAAAATGTTTTCCACAGTTCTCATGAAACTTTGATGAATTGTTTAAATCTATTGATGTAAGCTGCCTTTTGATTTTTATAAATTTTAGATATGATGTTTCAAGTTATGGGGTTTTATTCATTAAAAAAAGGGGGATTTTCCAGTTTTTTGACAATGCCTTTAAAGTGCTTTGAGCAGTTTTCATTAAACTTTCGTGCCTGGTTTATATCTATTAAGATAACCTCCCTTTATTTGTTTATAGTCTGACAACAGATTTACTAAGTATTGCGCAACAGCACAGTGTATTGCACAACAGCAAGAAATCTTTAATTGAATATAAATTCAATTCATATAACCAATTTCAAGTTTTTTGACTACATTTATTCAGAAACCTATAATATGTCAAATATTTAATTACAATCCAAATTCAGACCTGTATCAAGCTTGAATATTGTGTCCATTTTTGCCCAACTGTTGAGGGTTGGACTTCTACGGGCGTATCCAGCTGCGCTCAGCAAAGCAGTTTATTTTAATACTGTATGCAGTAGGTCAACTATATTTGGTGTATGGAAATATTTTACGATGTACATGTCAGTCTGGCAGGTTTTATTTGACCTTGACCTCATTTTCACGGTTCATTGCTCAATGTTAATTTTTTGTGTTTTGGTCTGTTTTTCTAATACTGTATGCAGTAGGTCAACTATATTTGGTGTATGGAAATATTTTACGATGTACATGTCAGTCTGGCAGGTTTTATTTGACCTTGACCTCATTTTCACGGTTCATTGCTCAATGTTAATTTTTTGTGTTTTGGTCTGTTTTTCTAATACTGTATGCAGTAGGTCAACTATATTTGGTGTATGGAAATATTTTACGATGAACATGTCAGTCTGGCAGGTTTTATTTGACCTTGACCTCATTTTCATGGTTCATTGCTCAATTTTAAATTACTTTGTGTTTTGGTCTGTTTTTATACGCCCGTTTACGGGACGTATTATGGTATATCGTTGACTGTCTGTCCGTTCGTCTGTCCGTCCATCTGTCCGTCCGTCCGTCGTCAACATGTCGGACATTAACTCAAAAACTCTTTACCCAATTTGCATAAAACTTTGGTGAATTGTATATATCTATTGACAAAAGCTCCCTTTCATTTTTCATAAATTTTAGATTTTACATTTCAGAGAAATGGGGTTTTATTCATTATAAAAAGGGGTGGGGGGGGGGTTCCAGTTTTCGAACAATAACTAAAAAATGCTTTCTCCAATTTGCAGGAAAAATTCTGGTCAATTGTTTTTATCTATTGACATAAGCTCCCTTTCGATTTTTATAAATTTTAGATTTTACGTTTTCGAGTTATGGGGTTTTATTCATTAAAAAGGGGGATTTTCTAGTTTTCGGATAATAACTCAAAAATGCTTTCAGCAGTTCTCATGAAACCTTGGTGAATTGTTTATATCTATTGACGTAAGCTCCCTTTTGTTTTTATAAATTTTAGTTTTTCATTTCCGAGTTATGGGGTTTTATTCATTAAAAAAAGGGGGATTTTCAAGTTTTCAGACAATAACTAAAAAATGTTTTCCACAGTTCTCATGAAACTTTGATGAATTGTTTAAATCTATTGATGTAAGCTGCCTTTTGATTTTTATAAATTTTAGATATGATATTTTACGATGTACATGTCAGTCTGGCAGGTTTTATTTGACCTTGACCTCATTTTCACTGTTCGTTGCTCAATGTTAAGTTTTTGTGTTTTGGTCTGTTTTTCTTAAACTTTAAGCAATATGTCAACTATATTTGGTGTATGGAATGATTGTAAGGTGTATATGTCTGTCTGGCAGTTATCATCTGACCTTCACCTCATTTTCATGGTTCTTTGGTCAATGTTCAGTTTTCCTGGTTAACTTTGTTTTTTAGATACTATAAGCAATTGGTCAACCATATTTGATGCATGAATTGATTTTAAGGTGTACATGTGTGTCTGGCAGGGTTCATCTGACCTTGACTTCATTTTCATGGTTCATTGGTCAATATAGAATCTTCACGGTTTGGTCTGTTTCTTTTATACTATAAGCAATAGGTCATCTATATTCTGTGTATGGAATGATTGTATTAAAGGTGTACATGTATTTCTGGTTTGGTTTATCTGACCTTGACCTCATTTTCTTGGATCATAAATGTTAATATGATACTTGTAGTAAAACTTTAAATGTAGGATTATCAACATAAAATCAATGGTCAGTATAGTAGGCGAGACATTTCAGCGTGTGCACTCTTGTTATAATTCAATATTTGTTTTAATTTTGATTTTTGTTCTTTTTTGTTTACAAAAAATGTATATATGAATTGCAAATTTAATACACAAAATGTTAGTGTCACTTATAGTCATAGAAACAAAATGAAGTCAGAAGAACCCTTTTTCTGTAAAATATTTACAGACAAATACCTTTTGCTTCATTTACACTTCTGATTTGGAACGATTGAATTTTTACAATTATTTTAAGTGTGTCACTTTCCCAACACATGCATTTGCATTAGCATCCCCATTTATACCAAAAATAACCATTTATTTAAGCAAACCGCCATTATTTTTAAGTCTGTTGAACATATTTCTAGTGTAATCAGAGTGTTTAGTTTTGAATCATAAGTCTTTTAAAAAGGTTTCTGAGATCAGCGGTGTAAATTTTATGCGTAAAAAATTATTTCCAAGAATATTCTGAAAATTAAGTAAGTTTTTCTTGGCTACTGCAAGTGGATTAAACTTTACCCACCTAAATTCAACAACACAAACATACTGAATTGGAATACATTTTTTTTTTTTAAATTTTAAATTGTTATATTCTCAGTAACACTATAGACAGAATAGTAGAAGACTTGATACAAGAGTCCATGAGTAAAGGAGAGTTTGACAATCTGTCAGGAAAGGGGAAGCCACTGGACTATACTGAGAGAAATCCATTGGTTGATACCATGACTCATAACATACATAAAATACTGATCAACAATGGATATGCACCACAATGGATTACATTAGAAAAAGAAATAAGGTAAAGCAAATCATGCTTGCAGTATGTTTATGAAATATATTTTTGTTCAATCCTAGGAGAAGTTTAGATAAATGCAGTAAAAAAGCCACCGTTTAAACTCACTTAACCTAAAAAAAACCATTCCTTTATGATCAATAAAACCAAAGGGTACTGGAAAGTGCATAAATTAGATAACATAAGATAAAGTTGTTGCCCAGTTTCATTAGGGGAAAGTTAGGCAGGTTGTCAAATAGATAGACAGGGGTATGGAATGAGTAAGGAGGTGAAAAGAGGATAATCAATTTTGTTATAAAATCCTGTTTCAGTTTTCAACTTAGAGCCTTCAAACTTTTGTAGAATGTTTTTATTTACATTGAAGATGTGCACCAAAATTTGTGTACACATTTGTTAATTTGTTTGCAGATTTTCCAGATGGTGAAATTTACTCATATTTCAGCAGCATTATAGAGGAAGGTTCCCATATTGTGTTATCAACTCCTCTTATAGTTCTCAACCCAGAAATTAAAGTGCATAAACATATGTTTAATGATTAAGATTAATATCTATTCATCATTTACAGGGAGGACATAACAAATGCAAGACAGAGATTGGCCATTGAAAAAAAGAATATGAATAGTCTCACATCATCTTCTTCACTAGAGAAGAAATGGAGACATCACGTTAAAGTGTTTGAAAATTCAATTTTAGAACTGAACGAAAAAATAATGAAGTTCAACATGATAGTGCCTGTTACACTTTTACAAAAACAGAAAATACCTTATAATGTTAAAAGGGAAATCCAGAGGGTTTCCGAAAGATATGAGGAATACATACCACCTGACAGTCATGTGACTTCTCCAGATATATCATCAGAAATGGACAGTTATATTGCTGAAAGGGATAGTGATAGTATAGAATGGAAAGGAACATGGAAATTTATTAAAGAGACGTTCAAAAGTATGAAATCATAAGACAAAATCAGCACTAAATAATATATAAATATAAGAATGAATAGTTGTTCACCAATGCAGTTGAGTGTTAGAGCTAGAGTTTTATTTGAATTTTAAGGTTATCTGGGATTAAGCGCAATGAATTTTTCCATCATTTGGCATCCATCGCAGTCTGTGGTGTGGTGTGTTTCCATCATCTGTCCTAAACTTTAAAATGTTTTTAAGGATCAATTTATACAATTTTGGTATTCAGAAATGTTAGGCATTGTGCTATAGATTATTCAAAACTCATTTCTGTTTTGAAAAATGTATCTGAGAATTATCACCCTATCATATGTACAGCCTTTGTAAATTTAGATGCGGTAGTCACCAATTGCAAGTCGAGAACGGGAGATGGCGCAATTTGCCAAGAAGCAAAAGTGTGTCCTCTTTGTGACTAGATGGAAATCGGTGACGACTACCACTCATATTATGTCATGTAGCTACAATGTACTTGAATAATTCTAGAAAAATCTGCTTCCCCCTTTTTGTCATGAAATTGTTAACATTTATAATTTTTTACAACTATTTTCTTCAAACAATGTAATCATATAAGAAAAACTGTGTAAATTTATTAAGAACATCCAAGAGAAGGTCGTTCCTCCAGGTTAAAACTTTTTAGTGTTTATCATATATGTAATTCACACATAAACTACTGAACCCATTGAAACTAAACTTCAATTGATTTATTCCTAGAGTGTCCAGATTATCCTTTTTAAACTATATTAAGGTCTATGAACTAACATGGGTGCCACAGCTTAAAATAGAACATAGAGGTAAATCAGTTTTCTTATATCTTGAAATCGATAATTGATAGAGAAAACCTGTCCAAATGAAAACTTTCAGAATTTCAGGATCTACTCACCTTCCTTTTGTATCAAAGTTATCAGATGAATCCTTATAGGAGTAATTGGCCTTAACTGACGATTTTCTTTTACAAATTTTAGTATAGTTGCTTAATAACCTAAAACAATATAATAAATAGAAGTTGTAATCATCAGCAATACCAAATCTACAAAACTGCAACTATGACTGAACCATACTGATTTTCACACAATTACATGTATTTGAAGCAGTTTTGCACTTATGTCATTGCTATGTAATATGCAACATGTGTTAAAGTCTTATTTTATTCATCATGTATTCTTTTGAGAACTTGTAAAGGTCAAGACGAGGTACAAGTATGTAAGAAAAAGTCATATCTAGCCTGAATATACGGAGATAAAGAAATGGTACATTATGTTTAAACTCGAAACATTGTTATACAAATAGGCAGGTGTGATAGGATTTCTAAAGGGCAACTATCCCTAACGACAAAACGACAAAGATGTGAAAAATTTCAGGTCACAGTACATCCTTCATTTAGTGAGTAAAACCCATACCTTATGTTAAGCTATAAAAGGCTCTTGGATGACAACACATGAAACAAATCCAAAGAGAAAACCATAGACCTGATTATTCTACAACAATAACCCAATGAATAAACAGAAAACAATTATGACGGACAGCAATCAATGACAGCTACTGGATTACACGTTCATAGCTTTGGACAGGCACATAAAGAATGTGGTTGTGTGACAAATATTTGTGAACGCACAACCTTTCCTTAATTGTAACATGTGGAATAAGGACAGATCACAAGAACAAACTAAAAATCAGTTGGAATGAGCTTAAATCATCAGAGCGCTTCTATGCACAAAAACAAATAACAAAAAGACAAATGACACCGAGTAAAGATTTTTTTACTCTACTACCGGTAATTCCCTTTCTCCAATTAATGAACTTATTGTTATTTTAATAAAGCAAATTGAAATAATGGCATTGATTATTTTTGAAGTGTAAAAATCTTTCAATGTTTTAGATAATTAACATGATTTTGATGGTCCTTTCATATCAGTTGACAGTTTTGACTTTCGGATTCACTACACTAGACTTCTACACAATCTTATCAAACAGATGTTTTCGTATTCAATCAAATATTCCTTTAAATTGCAATTGCTTTTTTTCTGAGATACATATGAAACATTTTACTGTAATAAAAAGGAAATATATTAGGCTATAAAGTTTATGGACATGTTGTAGGAATTCCTATTGGCACCAATTGCCCCCTTTAATAGCAGACACTTGTTTCTTAATTGTTATGAATCACAGTTTATTATAAAACTCAGTAACGATCTGATGTGTCAAATTACATTTAGTTTACAAATTTCAGAAAAAACTTACAGTTTCTTTTATATTAGTTTCGTTTTAACTAATAAAGAGTTCTCTAAAATACTACAAAAATTTTAAAAAAGGAACTGGCTTGAATAATTAATAATTTCAGTTTAACATTTGGGACGCTATATATGAACATTTATTACAAAAGAGACGATTTTACGCTCATATTGTTAGTTTTCCTTTTTAGGGTTTTTATGTCACTTCTTACGGTGTGTTTATTTCTGGACATATTAGCTATCCCTGTGTCTATATCAATTTCAAGGAATGTAAACTATGTCCAATTGGAATATTATATAGAGGGGTTTTATTACCACAAATTATTCAAATCATTTACGAAATTCTTTCTAATGAATTTGATACAAAGATGTGGTTTGGAAGTTTTCCAACACCTATAAAACTTTATTACAAACCGGATATCACTTCCTGATTTTTACAATGATGTTGTTATAGAGCCCATAAATTTAGATATGTTTCATGCAAGCTTATTTATTGTTTGAAGAACTTATTCAAATGGGTTATCGTTTTAACATTAAGGTAAGACTTTTGAATTTAATTTTTTATAGGTACCAGTAGTTTTTTTTGGATAAATTTAAAACGAACATAAATAAACATGTATTGGTATACAGTTATAATACTAATGGTCCATACACCTGTAGATTTTTATACGGCCTCAAAACTTTTGCGGTTGTATATTGGTATGACGTTGGCGTCGTTGTCGTCATCGTCGTCCGAGGACACATTGGTTTTCGCACAATAACTTTAGTTTAAGTGAATGGATCTCTATGAAATTTTACCATAAGGTTCAATACCACAAAAGGAAGGTTAGGATTGATTTTGGGGGTTATGGTTAAGGAATTAGTGGCCAAAAAGGGGCCAAAAATATGCATTTTTGTAACTTCCAGACAATAACTTGTATTTAAGTGTATGGATCTCTCTGAAATTATACCACAAGTTTCCATACCACAAAGGGATGGTTAGGATTGGCTTTGGGGGGTTATGGCTCAAACTGTTTAGGAATTAAGGACAAAAAAGGGGAAAAAACAAGGGTTTCATGGTTAATGGACAATTTAAAAGCAGTGTAAGGGAGGTAATCCAAAAACAAAATTGTACAATGTTGTACAATGTTGGATTACCTCCCTTACACTGCTTTTAAACTATCTATTTAAGACTTTTATGATGTATTTAAATTGGTAATTATGGTTGCAAACTCCATTGGAAATTTGAATTGAGATTATGACCATATCTTGAGGGAAAGAATTTTTTTTTTTGGAAAGGGGGGGGGGGGGGGGGGAGGGGTAAAAAAGAAATTGTTTTTTTTCATTTCAGATTTCAGAAATTAAAAAAAGAAAATTCTTTTTTTTGCCAAAAAAAAAAAGTGGGGGGGGGGGGGGTAAAAAAAAATTTTTTTTGGGGGGGATCAATACGCAACAGCATAGTGTCTTTCACAAAAGCAAAAAAAAAGGGGGGTAAATTTTTTTGTTGTTGTTAGGGGGGGGGGGGGGGGGGGGGAGGGGGTCAATTCGCAACAGCATAGTGTATTGCACAAAAGCAAAAAATTGAATATATTTTCAAATCATATAACCAATTCTAAGTTCTTTGACTACAGTTATTCGGTGTCTGGCGTATTAAATTATAAGCTTGGTACCTTTCAAACTATTTACACCACTGGGTCGATGCATTTGCTGGTGGACGTTTCGTCCCCGAGGGTATCACCAGCCCAGTAGTCAGCACTTCGGTTTTGACATGAATAACAATTATATGGTCATTTTTATAAATTTCCTGTTTACAAAAGTATGAATTTTTCGAAATACTAAGGATTTTCTTATCCCAGGCATAGATTACCTTAGCCGTATTTGGCACAACCTTTTGGAATTTTGGGTCCTCAATGCTCTTCAAATTTGTACTTGTTTGGCTTTATAACTATTTTGATCTGAGCGTCACTGATGAGTCTTATGTAGACGAAACGCGCGTCTGGCGTATTAAATTATAAGCCTGGTACCTTTGATAACTAATCAGAAACCTAATATGTGTCAACTATTTAATCCAAATTCAGACCTGTATCAAGCGCGCATATTGTGTCCATTTTCGCCCCAACTGTTCAGGGTTGGACCTCTGCGGTCATATCCAGCTGCGCTCAGCGAAGCATTTTATTATGTTTTGGCATTGCACAAGGTCATGCTTTTTCTCGGGCTGTTTATGACGTCCTTACACTAAATCCATTTGATGTGTGTTGATTGTCTTTTTATTCCTAAAAGACATTGTTCACTTATATTTGAAATAGGCTTTGAATTAGCTTTCAGTAACAGCGAATATTCTTGTAATTAACCTTGAGGCTCTTGTAATTTTTATGTATAGTGGTTTTGTTCTCTAACTTTAGTTTGCCTCAACCAAATGTTATGAAACTTATACACAATACTTATTACCACAAAACACAGATCAAGTTTGAATTTTGGTGGCGTCATTTTTACCGTTCTAGGGTTATGCCCCTTTACAAATGGAAAATATGCTGAATTTTTCGTTTCCGTTCTCTAACTTTAGTTTGCCTCAACTAAATGTTATGAAACGTATACACAATGCTTATTACCACAAAACTCAGATCAAGTACAAATTTGGGTAGCGTCACTTTTACAGTTTTTGAGTTATGTCCCTTTATTACGTTATATGCTAGTGGGGGCATCATCTGTGCCCCATGGACACATTCCCAATTTATTTGGTTTGTTTCGGTCTGGGCCATTAAGCTCATTCAAACTAGTTTTACAGTTTGTTATAATGTTATGCTGTTACAAAGCTGCATCAGAATAGGGAGATGGCTAAGCGCTCACATCTAAACCCGCTATACAATGTATTCTTCGTGTGCCAGCCCAAACTTGGGAGTCTGTAATTCTGTGGTTGTTGCTGTCTACTAAATTTGTTTATTGATTTTATCAATGTTGGTCTCCCCTTTCCTTTCTGAATCTTTTCAAATTTTGTCATGCCGGGGCCTTAAATAGCTCACAATACAGTATTGGCTTTTGCTCATTGTGGAAAGCCGTATGGCGACCTATTGTGGTTTAAATCTTCGTCCAATGATCTTCCTGGATAGTTGACCATTAACAATACATGTAATATCACATCCTCTTATTTTTATATTATAGTGGGATCATATTAATTTACGGAGTTAGTCTGATACATACACAAAATAGAAAATTCACAATTGGGAGGCTGAAACTCCCTTTTGTCGTAATGTTCTGTTCTCAATCAACCCTCATTGTGTACTTCTAGATTTTAGTCAAGATATTATGCACACTTAACTGTATCCTTTATTTAGGATGCGCTCAACATAGTCACTTAACTTTGAAAACACTGTGAAAGGACATCATTTATAAGGTGGAACGTTAAAGTTAAAGTTAAAGGATAATTCCAGCTTCTTTTGCATTCTTCGCGAAAAACCCCGTTTGAAATCTGCCTCATATGAATACAGAAAAAAAGTCGACAAGAAGAGGAGCAAATTAAACATTTTAATAAAACGATTCCTCTACAAAACGAATGGATTTGATTAAAATGAATGATCCATTCTTCATTTTTCTTTCATCGTTATCATTTCAATAAGATTACATATCAATTGAAAGTAAATCGAAAAAAAATATTTTGTGACATTGCCGAGATAATATAATGCTGTTCTTTGTTGACTATCTTTGATATTTATATCACATTCACTTTTTAATAATGCATAGATAATGTCATTATGACCATATTGTATGGCTGTCATTAATGGCGTCTGACCAGAATTTGATTGGGAATTTACGTCTGGTTTTTCCTCCAGGCTTAAGAGCATTCGAACTGTTTGTACGTGGTTATATTGACAGGCTACGTGAAAAGGGCTCCTTCCTTGTTTATCTTTTAAACTGGTGCTGCTTCCCTCTTGAACCAACATTTGCACTATTTCTGAATATCCTTTATAACACGAAATGAATAATGGCGTTTGTCCAGAAATGTTTGGAATGTCGGGAGTTTTTGTTTTCTTAAGTAACAGCTTTACCAAATTCATTTTTCCGTGTTCACATGCAATGAAGAGCGGAGTTTTTAGTTCTTCGTTTTGCAAGTTAATATCACATCTAGAGCATTGTAACAGTAAGTCAACTACATCCTCGTAATTTTCTAAGATAGCAATGTGTAAGGCAGATCCTCGGTAATAATCGCTTATATTGACATCGAAGTTTGACTGTAGAAATATTTGAACAACTTCTTTGTTTTCTTTTTCGACTGCTCGATGTAATGCCGTCCTTTTATACTCATCTCGGATATAAACCTTACAATTATACTCTAACAAAATCTTAACTAAGTTTGCATAACCAAAATATGAGGCAGTATGTAACGGAGACTGACATTCATCGTTACAAAGATTTGGGTTACAATTTCTTTCAAGGAGTTCTTTAACAGTGTCTTCATGACCTTTTTTCACTGCGAAGTGCAAAGCTGTTTGTTGATGTGAGTCATATGCGTCAATATCAGAAGCATATGTCAGCAGTAGTTTGAGTATGTCTGTGAAACCATACATGGAAGCAACATGCAAAACATTGCGTTGATTAACATCACAGAGAGTAAAGTCTGCATCATGATCCAACAAAAGCTCTACAATTTTTATCTGATTTCCTCTAACTGCACAAAATAATGCTGAACGATTTTCTTTATCACAAAGATTGACATCACATTTATTTTTTAACAGTAGTTCAACAACAGCAATGTTACCTTTGAAACTCGCAATTATAAGAGGTGTATAACCCAAGTCATTAAGGCTTATGTTTATATCAAGTTGAACGTGGTGTTCCATTAGTAAATTACAAATATCTATATGGTTGTTTTGACAAGCTATGTAAAAGGAACTACCTCCCTTTTCGTCCAATTTGTTTACTTCGCAGTTTTGCTGTAGTAACATTTTGACGATTTCGGTATAACCCTTAAAGCAAGCTACCCAAAGCGGTAGAGTACCTATCTTGTTTCCTTGGTTTATATCGCATTGAAATACTGTATTACTAACACATCTGATATCTAAAAGCAATTGCACAATGTCAGTATGCCCTTTCTCACAAGCATACAGTAAGGCAGACTTCTGTTGACTGTCTAGGAGATTTACATCAATACTATTTTCTAACAAAATTCTCACAATATTATTATGATTTTTAAAG